AAATTTTTTTTAAAAAAAAAAAAAGGAAAAAGAAAAAGAAAAAGAAAAGCCAGATTTGCCTGTGAAATCAGGCTCCTTGCTTTCCCACTTCCCCTGGCACCACTTTTTCCCAGAGCGGAACCCACTGATGTTCGTCGATGGCCTTACGACTCGCCGTATAACCATGGATCCAATGAACAAAGATAGGCCGTGTATGTACTCTGTATGTGTCGTAATAGAAGGCATCTTTCCAGAAAAAAATACCCCCTCATTCCAATAACGTTTTTGGTAATAATGTTCTCTATTCAATTGATATGGGAGGAGGATTGAGCCAAGGACTGCGTCCGTACTGAGTGAGCAATGCGAATCCAATGCGGGCCCCAAACCACGTGCACCCGCCGTTCTTACTCCAGATCGTCATCCCCGAGCGGTAGGCTACAACCGAATGACTTCTTATCTCCGGACATTCTTCAATCTCAACGGCTCCATCAACCTTCAATCGCATTACCCCACAACTAAATCTACGCAGTACCCAATCTGACATATCAATCACATCAATCGAGCCTACCAGCTCTGTTAGAACCCGTCACACAGCGAGACACATACACTGCATGGCCGATCAACACCGCTAAACCCAATCCATCCTTCCCGTCCTCTCGCCAATCCACCTAACTCAAAGACAACCCAGACCAGAGAAATGGGAAACATTTGCTCCCGCTCCAAAAATCAACCCGAGGCCTTTTCCAGTCCCGGCCGCGTCCTGGGCTCCGCCAATCCTCCCCCCGGAGAAACAGGGAAATCCAGCTCCGGTCCGCGCGCCCCGCTCCCCGCAAAGGCCAGTACGGGGAGGACCTTGGGCGGCGCGGGGGCTCCAGGGGCGGGCGCGGATACCGCTGATGCGCGGACGAATGCAGCGATTGCGGCGCAGGTGAGTTAATTCTTTCCCCTCCCAGGAAATCTGCATACTGTTGCAGTGTGAGATTGTGTGCTAATGCGGGATGTTTAGAAACGGGCGGAGTCTACTACCGCGGGCAACAAGGGCAAGTTAGGGTCAAAGTTGGCAGCTCAAAAGGCCCAAACACAGGCACAGACGTTGGGTGAGGCTAGTCGGGATGAGAGGGCTGCTAGGGATGCGGATAATGCTGCTTCAGCTAGAAGGTGGGAGTGATGGATGCGCAGATTACTTGGTTACAGCTTGATTCTGGGCTGGGAATCGCCAGTGTCTGACTTTTTTTTTTTCGTCTGGAGTTTGGCGGTTAGTGAGCGTTTGGATTGAGTACAGTGATCTTTAGCGTGTCGTGACTTTATTGTAGGCACGGGTACAGAATACCCGTTGAGCAATTTGACTATGATACCCAAGCTTATAAGAGAGAGTACGATTCGTTCCACAAAAATAAGATTCTGTATGTTCGGGATATGATACAGCTATATGTAAGCGCTGATACTTAAAGCACATTATAACGTCCTCCAACCGGAGCCCTCGCGTCACTATCGGCAGCGGCGATGGTTCCCTCCTTGAGTAACCGCATCAACTCGCGCATGGCGTTCGTCACAGACAACTCAGTCTCACCCTCAACAAGGATATACAGTTTGGGGTTCTCTCCGGGACCTGGCTCCTTGCCAGTGGCATAGAAGCTGCCTTTCGTGGTAATGGATGTTCCTGTGGCTTCGAGAATCTTAGCCACATTCGTACGATTAGTGACTGCCCACCGAGCTTTCTCTGTTTTGAGAGACCATGTTAGTAGCTGGATAAGACTTGACGATGAAAGCCAATAGCAGAGGATAAACTTACGGGGAAAGTCATTAATCTCAAGCGTAGCATGGAAAGCTCCGGCATCAGGACCGCGGTTATCGATGGGCACTCCAGACCTCATCACACCAGCACGACTCAAACGAGCGTGAATATCAGCAACTGCGGAGCCTACCTTGTCCAGTGGGTTCTTCGAACCATTGGCCTCCTTTTCAGTCTTGTGCACAGTGATCTTGCCGTCCAGATCAATGCCCTTGGGAACGCCAGGTAGGCTTGGCGCAGCGGCGGATTGAACCGATGAGAGAGCCTTGTTGAACCGTTCTTCGGCCTGTTCATTCTTCTCATCCTTTTCTTCCTCTTCTTCGCCTTCGTCGCCAGTCTTGTAGGTCTTACGCTCACGCATACGAGCAGCATCTCGCTCCTGATCAAGGCGTTCCAGACCCTTTCCACCAAAACCAGACGCACTGGCCTTTTCTTTACCTGCTTTGACCTTCTCTAAGAAGGAGTCAACCATCTTCTGCACAGGCTCCGGCACAGACTGGCCACTCTGCTTCAACGCCTTAGCGATATCAACGGAGTACCGCTCTTGGTCTTCTGTCAGGAATGTAACCGCCGTACCAGTATTACCAGCTCGGCCAGTTCGTCCAGCACGGTGCACATAATCTTCGAGGTGGTTCGGCGCATCATAGTTCACCACAAGTTTGAGTTGTTTCACATCCAAACCACGAGCCGCAACGGATGTGGCAATCAAGACCGGGAAGATACCTGCTTTGAAGTCTTCGATGGTGGAGTCACGGTCAATCTGATCTTTGCCTCCGTGAATGGACATGCAAGGATAACCCTTACGCATCAACTCACGAAGTAGTGTATCGGCACCCTCCTGACGTTCAACGAAGATCAACGCCCGTGCGTCTTCGTTTTCGTCGGTAGAGTACAGGTTACCCAGAAGCTCAAGAAGCCGGATGAACTTCTTGTCCTCACTCCGGACTTCCACTATCTGTGTGATCTCAGGCGCAACAACGCTTCTACCGCCAACCACGATTTCAACGGGCTTGTTCAAGGTCTTACGAGCCAATGCCTCCATATTCCGCGGGAAGGTAGCAGAGAACAAGACGGTTTGTTTGTCAGGTCGGACGTTGGCCAAGATCTTCATGACTTGAGGCTCAAAACCCATATCGAACATGCGATCAGCTTCGTCCAAAACCACATATGTGACCCTGCGCAAGTTTGTAACTCTGCCAGCATTCGCTGCTAGCAAATCAATCATACGCCCAGGTGTGCAGACAATAATCTCCGCGCCACGCTTTAGGTCAGCAATTTGGTCTTTGATAGGAGCGCCACCATAAGCGCAAACCGCACGAAGGTTCAGAGCTTTTAAGAACGGTTTACAATCTTTATGAATCTGAGTTGCCAGTTCACGAGTCGGTGTCATTATGAGACCAACAGGGCCTTCCATGTTCTCCAAAGGACGCTGATCCTTGATATGCCGAAACATAGGAATCAAAAATGCAACCGTTTTACCCGAACCAGTCTTCGCTACACCGATCACATCACGGCCGGACATAATAGCAGGAATGGCTTGAGCTTGGATCGAAGTGGGTGCAGTGTAGCCCAGTCTATCGATCACGTCCAGGGTTTGCACACCCAAACCACACTGAGACCATTTCGATACTGGCCTTGGAACCTCCACACCACGGACTTTAATGCCATCAAGCTCCAACCGCAGACTAGCAGCCTCTTCCTCTGACATCGCTGCCAAGTCAGAAGGCTCGGTGTAAAACTTCTTGCGAAAAGTCTCGTATTCCACCTTCTTGTGATCAACAGTTGGGATATCCTTCTTCTTCTTGGCCTTGTTAGCAATAGCAAGGAAATCATCTGCATCGCCGTCACCAACAGCGGTCATGTCCATATCATTCTCGTCTCCAAAGAGAGCCTCAGGCTGTTGTGCTTTGGCTTTCGCGAACTTAGCGCCAACCGTCTTTTTCGGAGGGGCAGACTCTGCTAATTCAGACATGAAGGCATCGAGGGGATCCACTTCTTCCTCCTCTTGTGCGTCCACTTCCATCTTGTCGGGCGCTTGTTGATTCGACGCATCGCTCATCTGTACGTCGCCATTTGGTTGAGAATCACGAGCCTCATTCTGCAGTCGCTCTTCTCTCCTCTCTGCAGCTGCCCGCGCCGCGGCTGCATTTTCCTCCTCAGTGCCACCATCCTGCATGTCAACGTCATCGTCATCGTCTTCTACTGTCACTTCATCTTCCTTAGTAGCGTCTTTGGTGTCATCCAACGGAGGGGTTGGCAATCGCTCCAGCTTTCGCCGAGTCGATTCTTCTTCGCCAAAGCCTAGAGTCTTCGTCGCTGACGCTTTTTCAGTATCTGTGGCCTGCTTGGTTCCCAAACCGAAACTACCCACATTTCCCTTTACTTTCAAAGCTGCAATCTCATGTTAGTTGATTCTAAATTCTAATGAGCAGAAGGCTGAGACGTACATGAAGCTTTGCTTGTAGTAGCAGGAGGTTTGTTAGCTTGAACCTGAGTCTTTGTGGAAGGGAAGGTAGCAGATGTCTTAGCGGGCGGCGGAACAGCAATATCATCCCCCAGCACAGACTTCACAGCTGGCGCTGGTGCAGCATTCTTTGCAATCGCCTTCGGGTCAAACTTTCCAGCATACGCGGCTGGGGCAGCATCAATGGGCGTCGCAGGAGACTGGGGGGACCCAACAGCTGGCGATAAACCTGACTTTCTGTCGATCTCTTCCAGGATACTTCTGGTCCCACCAGCTGCGGCCGCTTCTCGCTGTTTACGTTCCTTCTCGGCGGCTTGCTTTTGCTTCCAAGCTTCGAGCTTGGCCAGTCTTTCGGCTCGCTTTTCGTCTTCTGTCGGGCCAGCGTTGGCCGCTGGCGTCGAAGGCTTCGATGTCTGTGAGATGAAACGGTCGATAAGTACCCGGCTATATAATCGAAGGGGACCATATGCGCTTACCTCTCGAGACCTGGGAACGGAATCTCTGGCCCGCTCCCGGCTATCATCCCGTCTAGACTTGTGTTTCAAGTCAGCAGAATCATCTGTCCGTCTCCGAGCCCTGTCGCGGGAGTCATCTCGCCTGCTTCGAAAGTCTCTATCGCGACTCCTGCGACGGTAATCCCGATCCTCATCTCTATCTCTTGACCGACGTCGATCGCGGGAACGATCCCGTCGACTTGGTCTGTACGTATCTTCATCACGGTAATCGGCGCGTCTGTCTAGCGAGCGGTCACGTCTACGATATGAATCACGGTCACGGTCACGGAATCGCTTCTGAGAGTAGAGATTAGAAAGATAAGGATAGCGTTGAGACATCCGATTGACATACCTCAGGGCTGCGAGATCTTCTGTAGCTCCGCCCATCGTCTCGCCTACTCCTCTCATAGCGATCATCATCTCTGCGACTCCGTCTGGACGAAGAATATGTGCTGCCTACAGGTGATGGTGAGCGAGTATCCCCGTGGCGAGCCATTGTTGCAGGCCAGCGATGAGTGAGTATTACTGAAGCTCAAAGGAATTCGAGTACGCGAAGCAAATATCAGAGCAATTATCACCCTTCCATTAAAAGCAAGGCTCTGTTGTTATAGAATCAGTAAAGGTCGGATTGAGCGCGGTGGCGAGGTTTGGCGGCTTCCAAAGCGCGGAGATACGGTTCTCCATCTATGCTTTTTTCAGTTGTACCTTATCCTTCAACCCAAATGCCCGTCCTATCTATCACGTGAAGTGATAGCTGTAGCACATAGCTACGATCACGTGTGTGTACCTTCCTATTTCGGTCTACCCCCAAGCTACCACTGACGCGATTCCAACCTCCCGCATTCGTCTTAGAGCTCTTGCAGCTTAGGTCCCTGCAGCAGAATCTCCTACTATCGTAGAGCTTGTGCTCTCCTGTCTTTGTTTAGTAGCGCTTACGTGCTACATTGTCGGTTCTGTTCCCAATTGCAGTTAGTTTCCTCGCATTGTTTTGGATTATGCCTTTGAATCTAGCTCGGCGTGGAGGAGCCACCCTCCGGAACCTGCATCTTAGCGATGCATTCTCTCGTCCTATCCGTGTAGCTGTTTCCCAGAGTCACATCAGGCGCATTTCTTTGATTACGCGCGGTAAGACTTTACGCCCAATTTCCAGGGCACTTCCGTCGACCAGCGTGCTCTCGCAGCGCCTACTTAAGACCTATACGACCACGAGTGACAGCAAGAGCGAGAAGAAAACCCCTACCAAAACCACCAAGGGTGGAACAGGGACCAAGAAAACAAAGAAAACCAAGAAGAGCTCAACGAAGCCCAAACCCAAACCGAAACCAAGAAAGCAATTGACTGAGGAGCAAAAGGAGGCCAAGAAGGAGGCCAAGAAGGCACGGGAGCTCAAGGATCATATTAAGGCCCTCAAAGTTACTGCGCTGGAGGTACCAAAGAAACTCCCGGACCGTGTGGCTAATTTGATCATTGTGCAAAAGCTTCAAGAAACACTGAAGACACACAAGTCCCCGCAAGAGGCATTTAAAGCTGCTAGTGAGCTTGGCAAGACAATTAGTGAGGAAGAGCGAGAGGTTCGTCTGGCACTCAACCCGACTGTGGCAGTGTATAAATCACTGACTAGATATGATAGCGCATCACTGCGATTGCAGAGTCCAACAGAAACGCTAATGAAACTGCATACGAGCAATGGATCAAGTCCCACACACCACTTCAGATCAAAGAAGCAAATCTCGCACGAAGCAGATTGACAAGACTCACGAAAAAGAAGTATCCCCTTCTTCGCGATGATCGATTGGTTAAGCGTCCTTCCTCTTCCTATGTCTTCTTCTACCTTGAACGCACCGGTCAGGGCGACTTCAAGCACATGGCCGTCAAGGACATTGGTGTACGGGTTGCAGAGGAATGGAAAGGCTTGACGGAATCGGAGAAAGAGGTACACCTGCCGCGCCCTTCTGAAGATGATACACCTACGTGGATGAGGCTAATATGGACCAGAAATATCACAAGCTTCAAGTCGCCGACAGAGAACGTTATGACCGCCAGTATCAAGAGGTATACGGCGAGGAGCCGCCTAAGCTTCGAAAGTCCCCCGAGTAAGAGTTTATAAAAGTAAAGTTCGTAAACTTTTGCCTTAACCCAAGGAACTGCAGTGGTTTTTGAATCGGGATGGGCGACTGGAGATGATCAAATTCTCTTATGAATTCAATCGGTGTGCCTTCCGACCATCATCCTTCTTTCGTCTGTTTGCGTCTTAGGTGTTCAAGGGTTTATCTCGATTAATTGGTTACCTTGTATTCTATATAAGCTGTGATGTGCTGGGTTCCAGTGTTGCCACCAATATCATCATACCACGAATTGCAGGCCAGTTCTAATTCATGCTCGTACGCTGCAGGGTTTTGTCGATCTATGATCTCTTCGCTCTGGTCAGTTCACCCACAGAGTTGAGATTGAATATCGTAGTAGACAATGTGACTTCTGTAATTCAACAACCAAGTACAAGTACAAGAAGACAATGATGTTGCACAGGCAGAGCTGTTCCTGTTGTTATATTCGATTCTGCATATGCAGTGATAGACGGAGGTTCGATACTCCCTGGTCAGTTGCATCTATCATCATACTATGTAACACAGCAGGTCATTCAGGACGGATCACTGCAGTAGATGGAACAGCTACATTGGACACGGTGGTCCTTTGGCCGACATGCAAGTAGGTTTATCTCCGGTCCATATAGGGTCTAGACGACCTTGATTACGGTGGGGAGCAAGTTTGGTGTGTATTGTTGGGGCTGCAGTCGGGTATACTTGGGAGATATATAATCTGCATTCCATGGGTTTCCACCCCATCTGCGTCCTGAATCAGGAAGGGGATGGGTCCTACTGATTTATTTCTGTTAGACCCTTACAGCCAGATACCGTGAGTCATAGAAGTACTGCATGAATTATGTGCTAGAGAGATGCATAACACCGGGGATGTTCATGAGTCACTCACTGGCAATGGGCATTGAGGGACATGTTGTACATACATGTACGTACGATGACGCTGCCAAGAGGGACGAAAACACATGCGGTAAGGCACCGTCTCCCGACGAGGACCAAGGCGCCATCTACGGATAGGGTTAGCGTCATCTGTCATGGGATTCCTCTCAGTATCGGAAATGAGTATGGGGTCAGGCACTCGGGCGAAGCGCGATAGCCTGCAGTAGAGTGACAACTGTCAAAACTAAAAGAAGCAACGACGGACCACCCTGCCTCAGAACCGGCAATCCTTCATCAGGAAACGTAAGACGAAAATGGGGGGGAATGGCTCCATCGTGAGCGTGGATTCTCATAGGCTCACGGTGGATCTTCGCCTTCGATGCGGTGAAGAACACCGATAGCGGTAGAATCTTTCCTTCGAAGTACCTCAACGCTTTTCTCCTCCTTACCCGAGGTTCTGGCTGCTTTTCGAAGGCTGTATGGAATTGGCCTCCTGCTGCCCGAAGACTTTTGGCTCCATAATTGTGCAGTGGTTGTTTCACGGGTGAGCGATTGTTACAGTAAATCTCCTCCATTGTTTTGATTGTTGGTCCCTGGTTGTGGCCTCGTAGCCTGAGTCCAATTTATTCAGTTTTAGCAGTTTTAGTAAGAAGTACTACACTTGACTCGGTAAGGGCAGTTCTCTTAGTAGTCTCTTCTAACTAGTAGTTCTTCAATGCGAGGTCATAACACACTTGGTTTCGTTCTTTTTCGAGAAATCTCAGTTTCTTTCCTGCAGCATATTGATGGGATTTCTACCATATTCCCTTCAATCTACATCTTTGAACGGGACCAATCATTGAATGGGTATAACAGTTCCTCCTCCCACCAGGGAATAAGGTAGAGTAGTTCCTGTGCAATCCTCCAACCTCCCCAAGGTGAACCACGGAACCGATCATCTCTACTTTTAGCTTCCTTGGACCGGAACACTAGGGACTGATCTGTTGTTCCCTTGGGAACCCCACTTTAATGGGACAACAGACGCTCTATCCGAAGGTATGTAAGTACGATGCAATGAGAGTGACTCGATCTGCTAACGTACATATCCTACTGGCCATTAAGGCATAAAAGAGACATATATACCTAATCTAGATCGCACTCGAGTGTCAGTGCTTTCACCACCATTTGTTGTTCGTTGTACACCAGTGCCCATAATATCCGCCGAGAAGGAGGGGTGGAATCTTTATCGATAGGACCGTCGACTCACATTCCCCCGGTCTCTGCGTGCAATCCCATCGCGTGTGTAAGTGGCCTGTGCCTGCGTGACTTCTCACCTTGCATCTTTTTTCCCTTTACTCCTGTTCAACCAGCTGGTTTATGACTGAAAATAATTGCTAATTTTAATGCACCAAATCCAGTTAGAGACTTCTGCCTTGACCACCTTGACTCAGTTTGGTTGGCTCATACGCCCAGCCACCGTTTTACTATCTGACCCGTCGGGGATCAAAGATACTATCGCATACAATTCTTCCGTACCACGCAGATCAACGCGCAACACAAGTTATTATTTCAAGGTAAAAAAGTATAATCTTAAAAATTAACAGAGAAAAATTTTTTTTTCCCTGCGCAACCGCCGCTGACTTGCTGATGTATGTACCAAAACTAGTTCACATTCCTAGCTGTCCATCACATACCCATTCGCCCAATCCTATCTGTGATCCAGGGACTGATCTTCAGCAACATTGCTCTCCTTTCCTCCTTTCCCACCGCCTCGTGGTCATGAGCTCTATGACCTCTTTTTCGCTCCCAGTTTCTTCCTACTGCTAAACTCTCTCTTTCATTTCTGCATACACTTTTCCCTTGCACCTCAAACACGCTATCTAATGCCGTATGCTCTCTGATTGTCCACGGCTTTTGTCGCAAATCTAGTTGGCTGTCCGTTGGTATACCGATCGCGCTAACATTTGCATCGTGTGACCAGCTTTGGTTACAAGCATTATATTCTAGTGGAAACTTTTTTATCTTAGTCTTTTTTATTTTTCTTTCCTTTCTTTCCTTCATTCTTTGTTCCCGCCGTTTACGCAGTCCGTTGCTGCTACGTTCCCCACGATCTAACCCAGAACTTCAATATTCTTCTGGAACCAGCGACAGCCTCAATTGAGGCCGGAAGTTCTTGATATCCATGCGCCTCGCATAGTTGAGTCGACCACCGTGCAAACACTGGTCCGTTACCCCAGTATGGAAAGTATGCGCATTGTTCGCCATGATGGACTCGACGTCGGCTCCCAGAAGCCTCTATACTCCCATTATTGTTTAGTCAACAATGAGCAGAAAAATGAATACCCAGTCCAGTCACGAATACCCGGACACAATGAGCGATTCTCCAAAACAGCTCTGGCTCTGGAGATAGAGCTCCATACACCAAACCCTCGGCCCTACGGTCAACCCCCTCCATCCTATGACGATGCTATCAAAGACTTGCCTCCAGATTACTCTATGCTTTCGCCGTTGGCCAAACAGAAAAACCTGTGTGGTGACTGCACGCCCTCGATAGGAACAAAAGATCCGACGGCTAGATCTAAGTCCCCTCTGGTCGATTTAGACCATCCGTTTGGTATACGGGAACATAAAGGCGCGGGCAAGAAGAAGAAAGCAAAACAAGCCGCGCAACAACAGAGTACCCCGCCACCGAATGATGATGGTGATAAAAGCCCACCCCCCGATGAAAACCAGAGTGGTGGGGATGGGGGAAGCAACGCAGGTGGGTCGGGTGATGGGGATGGGGGCAACGGTGGTGATGGCGGAGACGACGATGGTTGGGGAGATGCATGGAATACAACCAGCAATAAAAAAGAGAAGAAGAAGAAAAAAGAGGAAGAAGAGCGTCTAGCTAAGGAAGAAGAGGAACGGAAGGCTAAAGAGGAGGAGGAGAAAAAGGCCGCAGACGAAGCGGCAGCAGCCGAAGCAGCGGTTAATGCTAATAGCAATGATCTTAGCTGGGCAAACGATGGTAGTGGGAATGGCGATGATTCGTGGGCGGACTTTGCGCCGGCAGGAAAGAAGAAGAACAAAAAGAAGGACCAAGTACGATTTCCCTTTGATGTAGAGTATCATCACTAATTCCTTCATAGGGTGCTACTCTGATTGACACCGATCCCCCCTCCAATTCCTTTCAGGATATTAATTTAGGTGGCAATACATCTCCACCAAACCTAAGCCTAGACCCCCTTGGAGGCAAATCTACTGGCGGGGGTCTGGATCTTGGCGGATGGGATAAGAGTTGGAATACAGGGAGTAAATGGGGTCTCGACTCTCTTGGTGGCATGAACGGGGACAAAGCGCAGAATACCAACCCGTGGTCATTTGGCTCAGCGGCTGATCCTTTGAATGCTTCAGTCGGATTTGGCTTTGGCTTTGGAGCTCCTCCTGGTCCTAGCAATGGAGATATCGGGGCACAAGAAAAGAAGGATAACTGGGGCTTCCTGGATACTACAAAGAAGACCGAACCAGAGCCGGAAATGGCTGATGACGATGATTGGGGCTGGGGTGTCTCAACTAAGAAGAAAGATAAGAAAAAGAAGAACGGTGCTATTCTCGAGGGGTCGGAACCAGTAGTCGAGGACCCCCCAGTAGTCGCAGATCCACTGCCGGAGCCCATTCATGAGGAGAAAAAGGAGGAGGATGACTGGACAGGCTGGAATGTCCCCACAAAGGAGAAGAAAACGAAGAAGGGCAACGATGCAGCAGAGCCCGAGCCCGAGCCAGTGCTTGAACCCGAGCCCGCACCGGAACCAGTACCAGAGTCTAAACTGCCTGATGATCCACTCTATAATAATTGGGACACACTATCATCTAAAGACCGAAAGAAGCGAGAGAAGTCTCTTGTCAAGAAAGGTCTTCCCATACCTGGTAAAGACTTTGAATGGCCACCACGTACGCCATCTGCGCCTGTCGAAGAGCCCGAGCCAGAACACCAACCGGAACCCGAGCCTGAACCAACGCCTGAGCCTGAACCAGAGCCACCAGCTGAACCTCAACCGGAGCCAGCCCCAGAGCCAGAGCTCACAGCAGCCCCAGAGCCAGAACCAGCGTTTGAAGCTAAGCTGCCAGATGACCCGCTCTATAATAACTGGGACAATCTTTCATCAAAAGATAGGAAGAAACGCGAGAAGTCGTTGATGAAGAAAGGTCTCCCAATTCCCGGGAAAGACTTTGAGTGGCCTCCGTCTGTACCTGCACCTGCACCCGCACCTGCACCTGCAGCGGAAGAGCCAGCTCCAGAACTGGAACACCAACCAGAGCCAGAACCTGTTGTTGAGCCAGAACCGGAACCTGCGGCTGCACCCGAACCGGAGGCAACACCCGAACCGGAGCCAGTAGCTGAGCCAGAACCACAGCCTGTGCCCGAAGCCAAACTGCCAGACGATCCACTTTACAATAATTGGGATGATCTTTCATCTAAGGACCGGAAAAAGCGCGAGAAGTCATTGATTAAGAAAGGCCTCCCAATTCCTGGCAAGGATTTCCCATGGCCACCGCCTCCGCCACCAGAGCCTGTATTAGAGGAGCCAGCAGCAGAACCAATAGTAGAAGTGCCTGAACCAGTGGTGGAGCCAGAGCCAGAGCCAGAGCCGGCACCAGAACCAGAGCCAGTACTTGAGCCTGAACCTGAACCTGAACCTGAGCCCGCACCTGAGCCAGAACCACAACCTGTGCCCGAAGCTAAACTACCGGATGATCCGCTCTACAACAATTGGGACGATCTTTCATCTAAGGATCGGAAGAAGCGCGAGAAATCATTGATGAAAAAGGGTCTACCAATTCCTGGCAAGGACTTCGACTGGCCACCAGCTCCACCGCTAGAGCTTGTAGTAGAAGAGCCCGTGCAGGAGTCCGTGCAGGAGCCAGAGCCAGAGCCAGAACCGGTACTTGAACCTGAACCTGAACCTGAACCTGAACTTACACCTGAGCCTGAGCCTCAAGCTGAGTTTGAACTGGAACCGGAACCGGAATCAGCAGCCAAAGCTCCATCACTGCCAGAAGACCCGCTCTATAATAACTGGGATGACCTCTCGTCTAAGGACCGGAAAAAGCGTGAGAAATCGCTGATGAAGAAGGGTCTACCAATTCCTGGCAAGGATTTTGACTGGCCACCAGCTCCACCGCCAGAGCTTGTGGTAGAAGAGCCTGTGCAGGAGCCAGAGCCAGAGCCAGAGCCAGAGCCAGAGCCAGAGCCAGAGCCAGAGCCAGAGCCAGAGCCAGAGCCGGTATTTGAACCTGAACCTGAACCTACACCTGAACCTGAGCCTGAGCCTGAGTCTGAGCCTCAAGCTGCGTTTGAACCGGAATTAGCAGCCAAGGCTCCATCACTGCCAGATGATCCGCTCTATAATAACTGGGATGACCTCTCGTCTAAGGACCGGAAAAAGCGTGAGAAATCGCTGATAAAGAAGGGTCTGCCTATTCCAGGTAAGGATTTTGACTGGCCACCACCTCCACCACCGGAGCCGGCGGTGGAAGAACCCGTACAAGAGCCAGCCCCAGAACCGGAACCGGTAATTGAACCTGAACCTGTGCCTGAACCTGCGCCCGAGCCCGAGCCCGAGCCTCAAGCTGAGTTTGAACTGGAACCAGAACCGGAACCAGCACTCAAGACTCCATCACTGCCAGATGACCCGCTTTATAATAACTGGGACGAGCTCCCATCCAAGGACCGGAAAAAGCGTGAGAAGTCGCTGATAAAGAAGGGTCTGCCTGTTCCGGGTAAGGATTTTGACTGGCCACCTCCTCCGCCGCCGGAGCCATTGGTGGAGGAGCCCGTGCAAGATCCAGCACCAGAACCAGCACCAGCACTAGAGCCAGAGCCAGTACCGGAAGCTGAACCAGAACCGGAGCCTGTTCCTGAACCTGTCCCTGAAGAGCCCGAGCCTCAAGCTGAGCTTGAACCGGAACCACAACCGGAACCTCAGGACACTACTCCGTCACTGCCAGATGACCCACTCTACAATAACTGGGATGGCCTCTCCTCCAAGGATCGAAAGAAGCGAGAGAAATCATTAATAAAGAAAGGGTTGCCTATTCCTGGCAGGGATTTCGAGTGGCCGCCACAAGTGGTACCTGTAGCAGAGGAACCTGTACAAGAACCAGAGCCAGAGGTAATTCCTGAACCGATCACCGAAGAGCCAGTTGATGATAGTTGGGGCATCTGGGCTCCTCAAAAAGATAAGAAGTCCAAGAAGAGCAAGATTAATGATGAACCTCCACCGCCGGCGCCCACTCCACCTTCTCTGGGATTATCGCCTGAACCCGACGCGTTTGACAGTATACCAGAGGAGCCTCTCTGGGATGACTTTAACACAGTGCCTTCTAAAGAGAAGGGCTTTGTTGCGGAGGAGACGCCGTCGAAGCCAGCTAGAGGATTCTGGGCAAGCTTTGGAGCAGCTGCGATGGGAATGCCTAAGGCCACTAAAAAGAGGTCGGCAGAAAAGCCAAAATTCACCGAGCAAATGAAAGAGCCGGAGCCCCAGCCCGACCAGGATGATCTGCTTATTGACGTAGGGGATGTGCCGAGAGAGGCTGGTGCGGCTGACGCGGCTGACGCGCCAGTCGCAGAAGTCGCAGAACCTCAGCCAACCGCGCCGCCAACAAAGACACCTGTTGTCACCTCCAAGACCAAGTCATCAACCAAGAACTCTGTCGCAGAGCGCATTAAGGTCCTTGAAGAGAAAAAGAAAGAAAAGTCCAAGGGAAAGTCGGCAGAAAAATCAAAAGCGAAGGAAGTGCCGCCACCAGTAGAGGAACCTCCGCAGGAGCCTGCGCCGGAGCCAGAACCAGAACCAGAACCAGTCATAGAAAGAAGGATCTTACGAGACACTGTACCAGGAAGCTTTCCAGACGCTTTTGACGACGATTTCGATGACCTCCCACCCCCTGCCCCAGAACCACCCGCAGAGCCCGAGCCGGAAATACAGCCTGAGCCTGAGCCTGAACCTCAACCTGAGCCAGAACCACAAAGGCAGCCAGAAGTCGAGCCTGAGCCAGTAGCATTGTCCAAAAAGGTCAAGAAGAAAGACAAGAAGAAATCAAAGACTGTTGTTCCTGAGCCTCAGCCGCCTGCTCCAGAGCCTCCGGTACCTGAACTACCAACAGAGCCAGAACCAGAGCCTGCGCCGGAGCCCGCGCCACCAGAAGAGGTTGTGCCTGTGGCTGAACCTGAGCCGGAGTCAGTTCCTGAACCAGAGCCCGTACTACTACCCAAGGCAGAAAAGAAAAAGAGGAAGGTTAAGACTGTTGCGCCGCAACCCGCACCAGAACCCGAACCGGAGCCGGAGCCGATACCCTCACCCAAAGTCGAAAAGAAGAAAAAGAAGGCCAAGGTGGTTGAGCCCCAACCTGTGCCCGAACCAGAGCCAGAGCCAGAACTTGTGCGAGCGCTTGATCCCGAACCTGAACCCGAGCCTGCCCCTGTCAATGTGCCGGAGCCCGAGCCCGAGCCAGCGTTTGAGCCCGCTGAGCCACCTGCCCCAGAGCCTGAGAAACCCATGAAGAAAGTCAGGAAAAGTAGAAGGTCAGTGCCAGTACCAGAACCACCACCAGCTCCTTTTGCAGAAGCCCCAGTGGCCGATGCTCCAGAGGAAGCTGCTGGGGGTCCTCCGACACCGCCACCCGAACCAGTTGCGCCGGAGCGAGGGGCAAGGAAGGAGCGTCCGCGCGTTGAACGTGCACCTGGTAGCACGTCTTGGGATATGTGGGGTGCTGCAGCCCCGCCGAGGAGGTCAGATCATAGGGAAGAGAGGCATAGAAGAAGGGAGCAATCACCTTCGGGAATGGGAAGATCAAAGTCCACTAGGCACTCAAGGCCACGGGAGCCGGAGGACGAGGTAGAGCGATCGCTGGAACCCGAGGACGACAGGCCACGGGAACCTGCACACGGTCGGGCTGCGGCATTCTCGAATTTCATTTTCGGCGCACCACCTCCGCCTACCAGAACAAAATCTAGCAGGAGGCATGGCGAGAATGCTCCAAGGCACACGTCACGGCGCCCGCCTGTGGATATGGATGACACTGGATTTCCATCGCCGCCACCGGATGAGCAGTTGGAGATACCTGATAAGGCTGCCCGCATGATGGGTGCTCCTCCATCTGGGTCAAGACGGGAGAGACCGCGTGGCACGCGGAAGAGATCCAGTATGGCCCTCTATATTCGCCTTACTCTTTGTTAAGTTTACTAACACGATTTTCGTAGGCGCTCGTGATCCATATGCTATCGACGATGAAGAAATCGTCATGGTCAATCCGGATGATACTGACGGCGAGCCCCAGGCTCCCTCTAGAGAGTCGCGACATTCAGAACGACGGTCAAGGAAGAAGGTAAGAGAGCAGCACCACCTGCGACCGATACCCAAACCAGTGGGAACAAGAGCTAATGTCGCTTTCATAATTTAGTCACGATCACGGCAGGGAGACCTCCAGGAGGATGCTGTTATGGTCGATGCAGACCCAGCCCAGCAAAGTCCAGACATTGTTTCCGGACCCGATGACATGGCATTTGTGGAGGCTCCGAGGGAACGGCGTTTAAGACGATCAAACACCGCGCCCAAGAAACAAGAGACTGGTGGTCTCATGGGGTTGATCGGGACATTGCGTCAACACATCCGCCCTGAACTGCCTGAACGTCAAAAGTCTAGGTCTTACCGAGACGAGGATGCCCGGTACATGACGGAGCCAGAGCGAGAAGACGCTCGGCGCCAAAGACGGGACGAGAGGAGAAGACGTGCAATGAGACCGGACCCTGACCATGAGGGCTATGCTACCGATGCTGGACCGGCAATGGCTGTCCCCGAAATTCAGATAGAAGATGTCGATGCTAGGAGAGAGGCGCGCAGAGCACGACGCGCTTCTCGACAAGGCGACGTCGATCCGTATCGAGACAGTGAGTTCCAAGAAGCTGAAGAACGCCGAGCAAGACGACGGGAAAGGCAAAGGGCCCGCGAGCAGGAGATGCAAGAAATGCAACTCCGAGAGGAAGAGGAGAGAGCACAGCGACGCCGGGAGGAGAAGATGGCTCGCCGGGCTGCTCGTGAAGAGCGCCGTGCGCGGGAGGAGCAAGAAGCTCGAGAGGCGGAAGCGCAGGCACAAGAAGCCCGAAAGGCGGAGGCCCGCGAAGCCAAGGCTGCCGAACGCCGTGAACGGAGGCGGCAGCAAAGGGAGGCAGGCATGTACGAGAACCCTGACTACGACCCAAGATCCAGAAAGCGGCACTCGCATATGGATGATAGAGCCGCTAGGGACTTCTACATGCAGGGCGGGGACCCGGACAGAGCCTATCGTTCTCATCGTCATGAAGACGACGGTGAACACGCTAGACGCCGAAGGTCCAGGGCGCCTGAGGAGATGAGACCTCCCCCGATGATGCCTGGACAGCGCAAAGATAAGACCTCGTCTTGGGTTAATTCTCAAGCAAGTGACCCCCCGGAACCACCGCCGGTTGTGCCAACTATGTTGGACATGCCGCCTGGTCCGGGAGAGCCCATAGATGGGGCGCACTCAATCTCATCGGACGAGGAGGCCCGACGCGACCTACGTCGTAAGGCAAGAAGACGGGCTAGATACCCCGGCCTCACCGATCAGGAGATTGAAGAGGTGCGCGCTAGGAAACACGCGGCTCGGAGGTCTGAGAGAGGACAGAAGAGTAGCTCCGGCAGTGCAGACTATGAGCGAGACCGTGGAATGAGATATGACCGCTACGACCAACCACCTCCTAGCTCCGGAGGGAAGCTGCCCAACTGGTTTAAGAAACTTACCAGCTTTTAGAGGTACGCTTCACAAGAGAGAACCTGCTTGATGAGCAGGGCTATATTCGACAGCGAGATGTGATGCCAGAGGAATGTTCCTTCTCCCTCGGTGCATTTGATGATTGGAACGACGCAATGACTATACACCAGAAATGTTGGGAATGAAACTTGATATTGAGCTTGCATGCGTTGATGACTTGTTCAGCAGCCTTTTTTTGCTTACGAAGTTGTCTCTTGACTGAGATTATGTACACCTGATGCATGTATGATAACTGATGAGTATAACCGAAGATCTCTCTTCTCGACGAGTTAACGTCACTGAAATGAAAATGAAAATGAAAAATATAATTCTTCACGATCTATCATACCGGCCCTCCATCTATTCCAACCATAGAAACCACCTTCACAACACTCCATCTTCATCAGCTTCCTTTCTCCTCTTCCCCAAATACATCCTCCCCCCCTCATACATCCCCAGATAAATGCTCATCCCAAAAGCCGACCAAACCGACCTCAACGCACCCCCCCGAAACAAGCCCCGAATGCCCTCTTCCCTCCACAATTTCCTCCCAACCGCCAACGTCCCCGTCACCTTCCTAACCGTCTCCTCCGTACCCTTCACCTCCTCCCCGCCAGCTCCCAACATGACCCTCGTCTTGACAACATCAATCGGCGTCGTCACAACCGAAGCCACAGTCCCAGCCACGCCAGCCGCAACGCCCGTCAACACCGCCCTCTCAAGCACCCCAACCTCACTACCTCGTCCATTACCACCCCCATTGCCTCCCCTCCAAGAAACAAGCCACGCCCTCACCCCCTCAAAAACCGGAAAATGCAATCCCGTAAAGGGCAAATTCCGGCCCACAAGCGCCGTATACCCACTCCAGAGCCGCCAAGGCCGGTGTCTGAATTTCGCCAGCACGTGGATGGTTGCGCTTTGCCTGGTTGTTGTGGACTTCATGTTCAGGACTTGGGCGTTCTGCTTTAGTACTTCGGCTGGGGTGAGGATTGCGCAGGAGACCATTTCGCCGAGGGAGGAGGCGAGAGCGTGGATTAGGGGTGTTGGGAGGGGGTGTGTGAAGGGGAGGGGGTTTGGGGGATGGGATTGGGATTGGTATTGCGTGGAGGAGTGGGTTAGCATGCGTTTGGTGGTTTCGTAGGTTGTGAAGAATGCTCCTGCTTTGGTTTTTTTGGGGTTAGTTTTGGGTGTGGTCTTGGGTCGAGGGTGGGTTTATGGATGTGATTTAAATCTTATATGTGTGTGTGTATGGGGGTGGTGATGGTAAGGTGGAAGAGACGTACATGACGGCACAGTCGCCAGTACAACGCTCCATACACCTTGGTATAGGCCCCGGAAGAGGACGTCTCGTTTTATAGCGCCTGCTGCGTCTTTGTAGAGGTGGTTGTAGTTTGGTGATTGGATGCGCGTTTTGAGTGTGTCCATTGGGTACACTAGGAAGTCGACCGTTACGGCTGCTATGGCACCGGCCTTTGTTTGCTTGTTAGCTGGTTCAATGGAGGGTTGTGTTTGGTTTCGTTGGAGGTTGCTACTGTAGGAGTTGGAGTTGGGGGTGTGATGTCTATATAGTGTGTATACATAGGGCATGGTGTTCTGCTTGGACCTGGACTTACAACCCAGATGTCGAGGCTACTGTTATCCATTCTAGAGACTCCGGGTATGTAGATTGAAATTGAGGAAATATCTATAAACAACTAGTGGAAGAACTGCAGAACAGAAAAGAATTATTGACTTGGATCGTCACGATAAACAGGATCTTATCTAATCGGTTATCGATGCCATGATGAGGTCATTGTACTTATCAGCATCACGTGTGGCAGGCATGCCCTAGCAAGATTAGGGCATACCCCATCCATTCATCAGTTGTTGTTAGGACTTGCGCAGGATAAATGGATACGAAAGGTTGGAGATGGGTGAGGTAGGTAGGAACCAAGACAGTCATATCCCGTAACTCTATTCGTCACTGGAATAAACAAACAGACATATTAACAGTCAGATACAGAATTTTCCCTCCCTACGCCGTAAGGTCATGCATGCAATTCCCAGAATCCCCAGTTGAGACAAATCATCATCAGTCACCTCCTCTCCTCTATTTGGCGGTCTCTCCGGGCAGCAGGTTTCCCTTGACCGCGAACATCTTACCCGTTGTCGCCGAAACGAAGCTGTCGATCTGGCGCGAGTACTGCTCCACCTGCCGGGTGTTGAGCATAGTCTCGAGGCGACTGGGCTCCTGGGGAAGCTTGAACAGACGCTGGTACTCATCCTCGGGCAGGAGAGGCTGCTTGAGGGCCGCGCGGCTGGCGTTCTCGGCCTTGCGCTTGGCTTGCCAGGCGGTGATCTTGGCCTGCTCACGGGCAAGCGAACGCTGGTAGTACTGGAAGTTGTTGGTCTCAGTGTGGTGGGTCTCGATGCTGTCCAGGAGAAGGTCGCAGTTCTTCTCGAGGAAGGGGTCGATGCTGAGAGACAGGTTGTCGTAGTTGGGGGCAAGAACGCTGTCCTTGACGAAGGGGCCCTTCTCCAGAGAGGCCAGAGAGGGGGGAAGGTCGGTAGGAGTGGACTGGATAGGGCACTGGAGCTGGTGGATGAAAGAGGTGATCAGGTGAGAGTTGCGGATTTCAACTGGAAGCTCAACGAAGATGTCCTGGTGTCTCAGGGTGGACTTTTGGAGCCTGGAAAAAGTTAGCATGCCATTCAAGACCACCTCGAGCACACGTATAGCCTGGTATAGCAGACTAAACTATGCCAAACGCGGGAGAAAACGTACTCCTCAGAGGTGAACTTGTTCTCCTTGAAAGCAGTCATGAACTTAGAAGACAGGCGGAAGGCCCGCAGACTAAGGCTTCCCTGGGCACTGCGGCTGACATCGTGCACAAGAGCGACTGTCCGCTCGTTCATCTCCTTCTGGTAAAAGAACTGGTTCTCGATCACGTTCATGTTGACGAAGTTACCCATGTTCGCGCTGGTGTACCAACCGACGTTGTTCGCATCGACGTTGACCTCCCGAAGCATGCGGATCATCTCAGCCTGGTAAGCCATGTTGGCCTTCGCACGAGGGGCAGCAGCAGCCGGGTTAGGGGCGGCGTTGTCGAAGTGCGAGTCGGCGGGCATCTCAACGACCGGGAATGGGAAAGAGTTCGTGATCTCTAGGGTACCGTCCACGTCCATACCGACGATCGAACCGGTCGCAGTCGTCGGGAAAGATTGACCGGCGTGCTTGATGATCTTCATGACCACCTATATGCGAACTTTGTAAGCATTACTGTCGCCGTGAAAATAGCGGGGGTGATTTTTCGCGGTCATTATCGTACCAAGGCATCGACCTTGACGGCCGTGAGGGGGACTTCTTTCCTAGTGTAATCATTAGCAGCCATTCTAAGGAAACGATTTACGGCCAGCAACAAGACTTACTCCGCCATGTTGGATGTGCTGCCCAGGTATATGTTCGACGGCGACAATGGGATGACAGTCGGCGGCGATGGTTTGTGTGGATTGAATTCATCAATTTCCCACCGCCTAGCGCCCGATGGGGCTTAGCGCGCCAAGACCCTCACGGGATCAGTCTGGACAACTTTGGGAACAACAACAACAACATCGGCCTTTCAACACTAGTCTGCCATGCGAATATGTCTTGAAAGAATAGAGTTCCGTGGGCGCATATTCTCTGATAATGGCCACAGTCTACCACCCCACAATCTCCCTGTATTGTCGCAGGTTGAGCTTATCGACCAGGATACTCCCTAGTTGCTCCGCCGAACATCACTCCTACTAACTAGTACTACTAAGCAGCCACTCCCCTTCATCGAAGACTAACAAGCGGTTCCCCTCATTACCCTCTCTTCCCTATCATACTCCCTTGGGAACTAACAGTAACATTCATCGCAAACAATCAATAAAAATGCCCACCGAAACCTTCAACTACGGCGAAGACCATGCCCTCCAAACAGTGACGGTGACCACCTTATCAGAGACACGGGACACAAAATACTGGATAATGTACATACTTCTCAATCTACAATCTACCACATACTATACGTCTACTATCAATAGTCCTACTAATCGTATCAACCTAGCTTGATCCACGGCGGCGCCTGGCGCGACCCAAACATAGACGCCATCAACTTCGCCAACCCCGCCATATCCACCCTCACCAGCTCCCCAGAATACTCTCACATCTTGCCGCACATCACTGCATTCGCATCCATTTCCTACCGTCTCAGCCCCCATCCGGACCACCCCCAGGACCAGTCCAGCGCCAATCCGCGAGAATACCGCAGTTCCAAACACCCCGACCATATCAACGACGTGCAAGCGGCCATCGCCTTCCTGCAACACAAGTATGACTTCGAAGACCGGTATATACTCGTCGGCCACAGCTGTGGCGCTACGTTGGCGTTCCAGTCGGTGATGGGCCGGTTTAATGCTGGCATATCGCACGGTCCGCTAGTGGTGGTGGGCTTGGCGGGGATATACGACCTGAAGTTACTCCGGGATACTCACAAGGAGATCCCAGCGTATCAGGAGATCGTGGAGGGGGCTTTTGGGGATGATGCGGCTGCGTGGGACGCTGTGTCTCCCGCCGTGGTTAAAGGGGCTGATGGTGTTGAGGGTGGCTGGACGGCTGGGCGGTGGGCGATCCTGGCGTACTCGTCTAAGGATTTGCTTGTGGATCTTCCGCAGCAGGAGGCTATGGATGCTTTTCTTCGGGCTGGGTGGTCCAATGCGCAGTCTGAGGGCTGTCCGAGATCTGTTGCGCTGATGCCTCTAGAAGGTGAGCACGATGAATGCTGGGAGAAGGGAGAAGGGCTCGCGGAGGCTATTAGTTTTGCTATTGAGAAGCACTTGGGAGGGAGCCCGTGAAGAGCCTGAAGAGTCTTAATCACCTGTTTAACGAAGCTTCCCGTTTATGATAGTTTGACCTCCAATGGGCCTCTACAAAAATGTAAATCGTTCAATGAAGTGCATAGTACGGGAATGGTAATTGCATGGGCAATTCATATTACGTTTCCCGAAGGTGAATTATGTGTTATGAAACTAGTAAACATCAGAAGAAAAGAAATTAGACCAGCCATTTTCAAAGCTTCAAACGCCCACCGGTGCTCGTCATCATAAATTCAGAGTACAGAGAACTGGGTGAAAGAAACCGTTCGTATGCCCACCGTTGGAGAACAGCAAGCCATAACGAAACGACAGAAGAACATGTCATAGAAGGGAAAGCCCCAGTCGAAAGGTGCAGGCAAGCATTTCGGATAGAAGAGGACGGGATATGGGATGATTTATGCGATAAGAAGAGGGATGATTCGTGGGTCAAGAGCAGTCAAGGTCAAGGCATGGTGAGCATTGGTATCGTCAAAACGAGATAGAACATTAGAAATCGAAGAATGGTCACTCAAATGCCCATATCCATACGGCCGGAGGCAGCATCTCCCGCAAGCCGCTCCTTCGGATCAAAGCCCTGATCTTCGTCCTCGTCATCCTCGTCATCCTCTACTTCTTCGTCTTCGACGTACTTGACTTCCATCCCAGCATCACGAAGGCGCGTCTTCATGTCCTCGCGGTACTGATCCTGCCAGCGAGCTAGCGCAGCAGCAGCGTGAACTTTGAATCCGTAAATACGAGGCTCGTAACGGCTGGTGCTCTTTTCAGGGACCAAGCCTGGGTAGACCTGGAAAAGCATGCTGGGGAAAGAAGCTCCAAAATAGGCACCGTCGATTGAAGCATGGCGAGAAGACTTGGGGTTGTAAAGGTCTTCGCATTTGGGGCAGTAAAGTCTGACAGTGCTCATGTTCGGGATGTCATGCTGGCCCATAGGCAGAAGTGGCTGACCTTCACACATAACACGGGGGCATTTGCCGAAGTCGCCCTTCTTGTACTTGTCGACCTAGACCTCAGTTAGAGAGGTATACTACTGTGGTGGCATTCTCAACTTAGTACATACCATCTTAGCAAGACCACGAGTGGTGACAATGTATCTTGCATGGACAAGTCCATAGAGATGACGTGCTGACTTTTCAATCTGTTCGCGTAGGTCGTCATCCGCATCCAGATCAAACACATCAGTCACCAGATCCAGCGCATACTGATAGTATGGCACCTCAGTGTTAAGACCAGTAAGGTTAAAGCGATCGGTCAAATATTCCTCATCGATTTCGCAGAAGTACTCGTTTCCACGAGAGGAGATGAACTGTGTGCCCCAGTTAGCTGTGTTGTCAGAAATCGGTGGCAGGTAAACAGGGTGTCTCTGCTCAGCGGAGCGAAGCGTAGGTTCGGTTCTAAAGTAGTTGGGAACAACAGAAGGTGGAGGCGGAGTGCTAGACAGCTTTAACTGCTGCTGACTGGGCGAGGGAGACGCCATCTTTAGAATGCAGACGCAGAGAGGTGAGGTAATTCCTGGAACTGTGAAGTCGAGCGGAAGTGGCATCGCTTCCCGAAAAACGGGAATGTGTTCCTCCTTCCAATGTACGGCCCCTCCAGCTGCCACTGCCAATGCCACTGCATTTTCCAGTATCATCATGCACCTTCCTCCACCTACAACCAAGTCGCAATCCCCCGCCCAGTCGCACATTGGCGCAATCGACGGAACATTAGGGAAAGACTCACCCAATCTCTCCAGTAACTGGTATAGTCACTATCAGTCTCACTGTTGAAGTCCTCCATCATTTTGCCAGTGTTTCGTTAAAGAAAAGGGCAAGAGTTTCTGTTTCGAGTTTCTGGATCTAAAGGTAAGATTATTTTCTTGACTTTGCCTGTAGCAGTTGCTGAGAGATAACTGGGTCAGACCCAGAGCAGGAGAGCCCTCAGAACCACACAGCTGGAATAATCTTCCTTGGAGACTCCACGGTCACAGCTCGAGTAATAGTATAGAGAAACGTCAAGGGTCGCAGGATTCTTGAGTGGTTGTAGTGTGTGTCTCTTCCGCACGCCGTTCCTACTGTTATCAGCGGATTATCCTCTACGGGATTAGCGCGGGGTTGGCGGTGAGGTTATTGTCCGTGCTTTTGATCACCGCCTTTGTGGTGATCTGGGGTACGATGTATCGGGCATCACCCTGCCACCAGGTAGACGGGGCGACGTTGTTCAACATGACTGAAATCTTGCCAATTGAGCTGTCAAGCATGTCATGGCTACAATTACAATCCACCGTCTAATCTTACAGCAGTTTGCTAGATAGAGCACGGATCTATTCAGTGGTTTCTACATGCTACTATGTACCTCAGCTGGTTAGAGATGTACTGCATTTAAACACCAGATTATTGCCATCAGCTACGGTTAATGGACTTCCTATCCTAGGCTGGGACGCTATCTGAGTGCCATATCGCAAACTTGCAGCTGAGAGACGCCACCTCGTGAGAATCGGACCCTCCTACGTCGATAAACAAGATACTTTAAGGGGATAATACTACTTATCTTTCGAATTGAGTTTCCTAATTAGGCTATCTAGTAAAGAGAGCTTATTGGGGCTTCGGACATTTGACATTTCAGAATCATCTCCAAGTATCAGGAACTCTTCTAGACTATCTAATTGGGCTAGCGGCTCCTACTCTATCCCCCGAGTCTGGCGGTGTTCATTCCTGGACGGACTCTGTCTCTGTTTGCTGCGATAAAGACATCGTAATCTCCGTGTCTCCATAGAAGAGAGAATAACTGGAACCGCCTTTTAACACGTACTCGCGCTGTTCTCCTTGGGAGCTGCAAGAACCGTTCAAGCCCTGTTTTGGGACGGGAGTAACGAGGGGCTCGTTCCCCTGAATTCGGGGGTCAAGAGACTGCTTGAACTTCTCGGAGTCAACCTCACTGTATATCCTGCTAAGGTCATATGGCTCACATACATCTGTATCTCGCTGTGCTTCAGAGACAGGTCGGACTCGGTCGGATAATGGACAATGTGTTTTGGCGGCCCGCTTGTTCGTGCTCAGATCGCTCGCATCTCGTTTAGATGAAACGTTTTTCTGTGAATGGAATTGCACCTGTATGACTCGATCATGGAGTGCACCACAGTCTATACCAATCCGTCCACCTAGGACAACAAAAACGCCCCATGCGTTCGACGAGATAGCGCGCTCCAGCTCCAGCTCTGTATACTCCAGCTTAGTGTCTGCGAATGAGCCATCATAATCTGCAGTTGCCTGGATGGCCTCTTCTTGCAGTCGATAGTATTCGATGAGGCTCCTCAACTTGGACCCTTCACGGTGTTAGCAACACATTTTAGTGATTTGACAGGTGACAACATACAATGTTTGCTTTCCTTGAGGTGATAGAACGCTAGTGCCGTAGTGGGAAGAGAGGCCGCGGGGATAGGCATTGGTGATCCTTCCTGGTCATACATCTGTATTGGAAGGACACGCTGGCTGAGGAAGGCGATTTTGGAGTTCCGGAGGATTCTCTCAAAATTGCCCATCTGGACCTCGAAGCGATCCACCTTGGTTTCGACTCTATCCAGCCTGTCTTCAAATCGATCCGCCTTGGCTTCTACTCTGCTCATCCTGGCTTCCAGTTGATCCACCTTGGCCTCAACCCCTTCCATTCTGGCTCCTAGCTGATCAACCTTGGCTTCGACCCCTTCCACTCTGACTCCTAGCTGATCAACCTTGGCGTCGACCTCTTCCACTCTGACTCCTAGTCGATCCACCTTGGTCTCAACTCTATCGAAGCGGTTCTCCATGTGCGTAAACCGTTTGTTGACATTGTTGAATTCTTCTTTCATATCCATCTCCAAGGTATGGAACTTGGCATCCACACGATCAAATCGCTCCTTGAAACTCTGGAACTCTCGCTTAATATCTTGATCACGAGCTGCGAGGTCCTTTTGTACTCGATGAAATTGCGGTCGAATGATACCTTTATGGAACTTGACCATCTCCTGGACCAAGTTCTTGTGTAACGCCTCTGTTCGCTGGGCCGTAGTGTCATCTAAACGTTGAGCTAAAAAGCCTTGTAACTCATTGGACCGTTGAAGCAGAGTCTCATCAATTCGTCTCGTCAGGGTTTGCTGGAACTCGTTGTTTCGTTGAATGAGGGTGGTATCCAGCTCGTTGGTGCGTTGGAGCATAGCTTGATGTATTTGGTTCGACCGCTGGACGAGTGACTCCTCTAACTGGTTCGAGCGATGGACAAGCGACTCCTCTAGCTGTTGCGATCGTTGGACGAGTGGCTCCTCTAACTGGCTCGAGCGTTGAAGCAAGGTTTCCTATAACTCTGTGGACCACCTGTCCATGGTCTCGTCGATCCGTCTGGTCAAGGTATCGTGTAGCTCATTGTTCTGCTGAAACAGGGTGCGCTGCAAGTTGTCCACTCGCGTGTTCAAGGACTCCTGTAGGTTGTCGACGCGCTGGTTGATGTTCTGGTTGAGGCCATCAAACTGCTGCCGCATCATTGCAGCCAAAGTTGTGATCTCCATGGTTAGTTTGCGGCTGTTATAATACGGGAATAGTGTAGGAGGAGGCTTATAAGAAGAAGTTGGTGGTGGTGGTGGTGATAATAATGATGAGGCAGAAGAAGAGGTATGTTGTACGTTATCCTTTGAAGGTCCAGGTAAAGAAAGCAGAGGCCCTTTAAATAATCCTCTAGGTGACAATGGCAACCCGGCTAGAATTGGCCAGTGAATACGGTAAGCATAAACCTCTTTGTCTCGCCATTCACTCAGTAGGATTTACATTGCTTCATGCAGTGATTGACAGTGTGTTCCACTTGTGGGTGGTGTGGATAGAATGATTCAACGAACGAAAAGCCTTAAATCACTAAAGTACCTGATATAGCAAAGTCTCCATTAGTATCCATACTATTGTTTGCATTCGTGGCCCTCTTCTACCTCCTCTACCTTCTCGTAAATGGCTCCCCATGTTCTGCGTAACAGTCAACTGTACCTACATATCTTACCACCCTAGGCACTGGTTCGTAGTTTATTAACTACTATCTTCCAGCGTCCAGTCTACAGACCGTCTACACTATATAAAGTGCCAAGCGTGTCACATTTAGACCCAATCCACATATCTTCAATTTCCCCTTTCTGATATACGACAGACCAAGTAATAGAACCTACTACCACCAGCTCTCTTTATTTACAGAATCCCCTTTATCAAACCCAAGCAAAACCATCCTAGCGTGTCCCTAGCGACTATTGCACTCCTATACACACACACACACACATCCCAGAATGATCAACCTCGGTATCTCATAAGTTAACTATAACCCGCCAGATCCCATCTTACAAAGAAGGATTGGCGTTCTCAACCAGCTGCTCGAAATAAGCCTGCAGAGTGATATTAGCATCGTGTTGTCAAATATACTCTGCAGAAGCACTCACCTGGAACCAAGTACCAGCCTCAGGAGCAGGCGTCAGGGCATCAGAATATCCGCAGTGCGCATCGTAGCGCTCGGCAGAGGTATCGGAGGTGCCGTCACTCTCGCCACCGGGCTTGATCCAGACGAAAGCGTCGACGAGCTCATCGCCTGTCTCGGTGGTAGGACGCACACCGAACCCGGTGTTCTTCACGTTGCACCAGTCGCCCCATTGGCTCTGGCCGGTGGGTTGGTTACCGTTGCGGCCTGTGTGTGTGCGTGCGTGGATTTGTTAGCGGATTCCAGGCAATCAATGCACAGGGATAAATGCGGAGGACCATACCTGTGTCAACGATGAAGTGAGCGTCGAAGCCAGCGCTCTTGAGCTGCGGGGCGAAGTTGTTGATGTAGGTCTTCTCGTCGCAGACCTGGCTGCCCTGCGTGTACGAAGGGCATGTGTCAATGGACCAGGCGTTGTAGTTTGCGACGTTGGTGGCCAGACCGCGCACGGCGGCGGGGGACCCTGCGTTCTTGTACACGGAGGCGTACAGCTCCGCTGCGGGGCCGATGTTGGCGGGCCAGCCGAGCCATCCTGCGTGGCCTGTGTTGAGCGTGTTAGGTTGGGGGTCTGAGAGTACTTATTGTCTGGGGGAGGGGGGGTGCGCACCGGCATCAAGATACATGGCAACGTTGGGCAGGTTCAACTGCGTAAGGGCGTAGTCGGTACATTCCAGATAGGCATCTTGGGCGTTGGCGCACTTTTGCACGTCCAGGTTGGTGACCAGGTTGGCCAAGCTGTCGGGCTCTGGTGGATGTTAGTGGGCTGTGTTGTTTGTTTCCAGTCGTATCACATTTAGTTCGCTTCGCTGGGGGAGAGATGTGTGGAGTATATACTCACCGATAACCAGGATGATCTGCGTATCCGAGTACTTCTCCACCTGCTCCCGGATGGAATCAATATACGCCTTGTACTTCTCGACACCCCCGTCGCTGATCAGGAACTCCCCGTTACTGGCCAACGCCGCACAGTCCCGGTCAGGTAAGTCGTAAACGACGAAGATACCCGCTGTGTTCGCTCCGGCGTCGTTCTGGCTCTTGATATCTTCGAGGAAGTCGCCCATTGTGGGGACTTTTGCTGTTGTGTCACTGGGGGGGTTGTCTGTTAGCGACTGTTTTGGTTTTAACTCTATGGAAAGATATCAATCATACAGCCAGTGGAAAGAGGGAACGTTGGCTGCAGCGCTGGCCTTCTCAGCCAGCGAGCCGGTCATGGATGGAATAGCAAGGCTCTCCACCTCGGACTTGTAGTACGGGTTCACGTAGAGGTCATATCCCTGGAACGGGTTTCCGCCGGCGGTTGCGGTGGGAGCAGGGGATTCTGACGCCGGAACGGACGACGAAGGAGACGGGGTGGCGCCCGCCTGGGGGAGAGCCCTGGCAGCGGAGAAGAGCAAGGGCGACAGAGCCCACAGGGCCTGCACGTTGAAGGTATGCATAATGAGCAGACGGAGTAACTTGTTATCCACGATACTCTGGAGATAGTGAACTGGGGTGCTGAGACCTGGACTGCTACGGGCCACCGAGTCCCATTTATAGGATGCATTTCTCCGTCTAAATGCATGTTATGCAGAGGAATTGCCGAAAACTAGTGGGACGTAATTCGGCTAAAGGCAAATGTCCCCGGGTCTTCTATTCAGGCATCCTGTTTCAACCCTTTCATTTCAGATGCAGGTGTTGTTGTCCCTTCCGCAGCCAAGACGGAAGGCCCCGTACCAGAAACGGAGCGGAGTGGGTGATCGTCATTACATCGGCATTTCTCAGGGCTTAGTGTGATTGTTTATTGCATGTACCTGGCAGGTGGAGGAACTTGCAATTGCAAATTGAGCATATGCTGCACGGACTCATGTAAATAGGCTATGTATGGCTCAGACGCACTGGTTGGTTACTACGTGGCGTGGTCTTGTATACTAAAGTGTTGCACTTTTATTAGCTTACGACGGACGATATCAAGATATTGCCTGTATATCTCCATCCCCCAGACAGAAGTATCCTCCCCCGTGTCTTCCGCGGCTCTACAGAGTCCGAGCCAAAATCCGTACTAGTTAAGGATCATACGTCGTTTCACTATTCTGAGTGGATTGGCTAGATGTATTCCGCCGCTGGAGTAAAACTGGTGCCCTACGTACCGGAGCTGAACCCTATTGAAGACTTTTTCGCCGAACTGAAGGTCTTAATTAGGCGTAGTTGGATCTACTACGAAGAAACCCCCAACATGGGATTTATTTCTTTTCTTGAATGGTGGATTGATAAGGTTGGTGCTAAAGAGGGTGCTAGAGGACAGAACCCCCCCGGCCATACTTTAAATTCCAAGGCAGTATATGCAAATTTTAGCCTCGTTTGCTTAGCCAGCTTTGTAAACAACACATACCTTCGTTTTCCCCTGCGCTGTTCCTCAATATGCTCTTCTAACAGGATGAATTAGCCTTTTTGAGAAGCAAAAGATCCCGGACGTGTTTAGAACGTGAAACGTGCGCGCGCGAGACAAGCATAGAAGCATGTGAGGAGAGAATAAAGAGTACAGCGGCTATTTACTGGATCATAGACGTAGCGATGCCGAAGCCAAGGGTCTTACCACCCTCATCCACGTTCAGCACGTACACTTCCGCTTTGAAATCCGTGCACTGCCTGTCCCATGTCTAACGACTTGCGGAACATCTCAACGCCCATACACACCGTCCTGGCCGTCCCACTCATACCCACGATCTCTACTTTGTCGCCGATCCGGATCACACCGCGCTCCACACGGCCCGTGGCATGGTGGCCACGATCAGCAGTTGGGAATGTTTCTTCCACTGGCACCAAGAACGGCCCAGTCACTGCTTGCTCTGGCTCCGTGATGTACGCGTCCAGCGCCTGGTGCGCCGAGCTCTTGATAATCGGCACGTCATTGCCCGGGTAGTCGTACGTACGCAGCAGCTCGCGCACTTTCGTCTCCACCTGCTTGAGCTGTTGGTCATCAACCATGTCGCACTTGTTCAGAAACACGACGACGTGCGCCACACCCGCTTGCCCGTGGCTGACACGACCAGGATGGCGCCGTCCATCTGCACTTCACCGCTGATTATGTTCTTGATGTGATCAGCGTACTCAGGGCAGTCGACGTGACCATAACAGCGCGTCTTGGTCTCATACTCGATGTGAGCGGCCCGGATGGTGGCACCATGGACTTTCTTCTCGGGCGTGCTGTCAAATCTCCCCATAACTCATAGTTATAGTAGCCAATGTCCTAGTGATGGCAGCCGTCAGGGTCGTCTTACCATGATCAGTTTGACCAATGGTACCAATGTTGAGATAGGGCTTGCTACGCGCAGACATACTACCGGTATTTGATATAGTATTGATGGCCAGAACAATCGTGTTTTAGGACAATAGGGAGGGGAGATCGCTCCATGCCAGAGGCAGGTGCGGGGCAGATTTCTCTCTTTACATTTTGTTCTGTGTCGATCTCTCAGGGACCGTGCAGCACAATCTGAAGAGGACATGGCCTGCTTTGTCTGTGCACACATAAGGTGCCAGTACGGCTACCACAGGTAAGGAGAATAAATTCAACACAGTCAGCGTACGAGCAGAACGACCTGCATTTTCTTAGTTCGGTCTTAGGATATAGTCGGGGTATTTCCTCGAGGATGGAGGTACAGACATTCATCCAGTCAGATCTAATCTCAATCAGTTAAACTCGGGAAGATCCGTCAGCCTATGTGGGGGTGTACAGTTCAGCCATTGGAATAAACAAGACGCACATTCTCCTACCAGAGTGAGTGAGGCCTCTACAGCAGGAGAGCAGCTTTCTTTGGCATATCGTAAAAGGAATGACCGTAAACAAGTAGACAAAGACTGGGAGTTCCTCAACGAGACTGAAGAAGTTGAACTCCAAACATCTCCCGTTTCATGTACAGGACTGTCATCCCGGAAATCTACATAATTTCTCCGTCTCACGATGATCAACTGAGTATTTCCGGAACAATGCATCCAGGGCCACTACAACCCATGTATTTAGGCTTTGCGGATCGCCGTTTGAGATTTGATTGTGGAGGTATCCTCGGTCCGTGAGTTGTGGTATCGCTGTGCCGCCAAGATGCGGAGTTGTTTCTGCAGGAAACTATACAATTACTATGGACACGGTTGAGTCGGTTCGACGGCCCGAGTTCCCGTGGGGAAGGTTCGTCGCTCTGGATCTTGAATTTGCGCATTATATACCCCGTACCGTGTTTCAGGTTATGGATTTAAGTGACAGCTACGAGGTGGTGGAAGATACCCTCATAACTAGGATATATCTATACTGTATCTTCCTTTCCGTTGTGTTTCAGTCACTTTTCTGCAATGCATATCGTTGGTCTGCGAAGCGAATGTTATGGAAGGGTATTATTGGTAACTACATTGTACATACTAGTATCATCCAAGGTCAAACTTCATTGCAGTCGTTGATAGAGCAAACTCCTGTATACAAGGAGCCACCGGTGCTCGATTACTTTCCTTTGCTCCCTTTTTTTCAAGTGATGTGGATCGTTCGTTGTCTTTGTAGCCCATAAACGTGCTGGGTCCAATATAGAGGTTGATCATGCTAGCGTTATACCCGGATTGTAGTGGATAAAGTGCCAACCTGGAGTTGCATTGGCAGTAGTGCATACAAGGCATGGCTCGATGCTCAAAGTAGGTATACAGGTAAATGATGGTTCAATTTATGTATATTTCAGTAACAGCCAATAAGGTTAAGCACACCTCGGATACACGGTGTCTGTTCGCACAAACATAAACAAAAGAAATTAGGGTAAATAAAAGACTGTCAAAGCCCGTGGAAAAGATGGAAACGCAGTTAGCTAAGAAATTGGAGGAGCACGGTTGCATTCGGCAAGAAATCGGTGTAACCCGTCCGATCCCTCATATTCAGAAGCACTGTCAGGAAATCCGGTACTGGAGATCTCATGGAAGTATGCGCGGTCACCGAGTTCGCTGATGTTGATACTTGAATACCCAGATGACGAAGAGGATTGCTGCCACGGATTCTCGCCGAACATGGTTACGTCTTCGAAACTGAGCTTCGGCCCAGAGTTTCCGAGAAGCTCTGTGTTGTTCTCTGACGACATCATAGCTTGCCAATCAACTTCTTCGGGCGCTTGTGGCTCAGCGGGCCCCTTCGAAAAGAGGTAATCCATCGTCTCCGGTGACCCGGGAACACTGGGGGCAAAGGGGAATAGAAGAGCAAGGTCAGCACCCGTACGACTATCGAAGTCCTCGTCCTGCATGATCTTCCCTCGTTGGACTCCAACCTCGTCACAGAGCCGTTCGACAGTGGCTGCGTCACACCCGGGGAATCGCACCCGGAGCGTCGACTTGTCGTGCAGCAAGATAGGCAGATCACCCAGGGTGGACAGGCGCTTGAGGTCGTTGAGCACAGCGGCCAAGTCCTTGAGAGCACGCGCAAAGTCGGCAGAGAGGAAGTCCAAAAGACCGTCCGAGTTGATGGTCTCGGAGGCGAAGGCTCCCGACGGATCAAACTTCTTCTGCAGTCCAAAAGCTGTGATGGTAGGGGAGAGCTGGAAGTCAACAAAGGATCCCGGTGCAGTCCGAGGGATTCCGGTCATCTTCCGCTCAGCCTGATCTTGAAGCGCGCTCACAGCTTTGTACTTCTTGTTTCCGCTGACATCGTCAATGCCGTCGAACCGGACCTTCTGTCCAGAGAGGAAGAATGCCCGGACACCCATGGATACATTTTGAATGACCTGAGCGGGTGCAGCTGGGCCATGGGAGAAATACCGGGCACCCCCGATCCGTCCGGCCCCTATAGTATAGCCTCCCGCCGTACGGCCGAGAGTACCACCGGTCAAGTTCGGGCGAAGGGTTGACGCAAAGGGCGCTTGAGAGGTAAGACGGCTGATGTTTGACGCAACGCGGGATGTCTTATAGGCAGCACGATCGCCTTGCAGTCCAGTCCGGAGATAAGAAACGAAGGTTCTCGCGCGAGTGGAGTAGTGGCGGCGACGGGCCTGTCGAATTGCTGCCGCACGGTTGATCGGCTGGTTTGGGGTTATGCGTGCAAAAGCTGGCTGAAATCGTAGGCTTCCATGTTGGACTTGTTCTGGAAACTTTGTCCGTATGGCTTTGCAAGCCTTCTCGTAGGCAAACCTGGGGCGGCGTTAGAACGGAGATATAGTCCGGGAAGAGTGGATAAGTGATTACTCACCTCGCTGCTCTCCAAAACTTTGGGAGCAGCAGGTGCCCGCTGGAAGGCGGCATCCTGATGCTGATGAGGAGGGATAGTCTAAATGAGACACGAAGATGGGGAAACCATCTAGGAAATGGATAACGAGGGATCCAAGGAGACGAGACGGAGGAGATGACGGATGGGTGCCTGATGATAACGGCACAACGTGGCGGTGCAGCACATGATCGCCACTGCGTCATTCGAGTCATTCCCACGTGACCCCCGGTTCCTGCCGTGCGACATTCGTACAATGACTGTCGCAATCAATTGAGCCCTCTCATAAATCCTGCTAATTCGCCGTATAAAATTCCACATAATGGAGTAAAGTGGGGCTTTTAACCAATTGTATATTTTTAAACAGTACATGCTAGTCATGGCGTGCTTTGCTATTATTTAGGTTTAAAGTCGTACCTATATAACATCGAAACACCGAAGCTATATATATTGCTTTGACACACGATAAGTGATTATCAGAGCACCCTGAACTACTCCGTACCACGGAAATCAATAGATATGATATGAATTATATATAGCCTTCAAATTCTAGTTATAACCAGTCTGTATGGGAAAAGTTTACTAGACACAGTCTCCTGATACGAGCAATTGAAATCGGGTGCTAAATTAATTGTTTCTACGGTGTTTATCTGTACAAGTATTAGTTAGTCTATTACTAGTAGGAAGAAAGTTCCCCACCCATAGAGGGGCAATTGACATCATGCCGCTGGATGGACCTGCCCTAACATTCGGTGTCTTCTGGTAGCTTATAAATTGTCTTGTTTACCCCTCGTTTATAACCTTTCGCTCGTGTTCTTTTTCTGAATTCCTTGTTCTGATTCTTAATCTTGACACGTTTCAATAAAACTTCCTTTTTTCCCTATTCAATTGCACAAAATGGCCAGCCTCCAGCACACCAAGTGAGTCCCTAGATCCTTAGGTATAGAAAAAAAATGAACATCAACTGACATGTTCCTAAACAGAAAGACCTACACCCTGAACACCGGGGCCAAGATCCCCGCCATTGGTCTGGGAACCTGGCAATCTAAGCCTAACGAGGTGCGCGAAGCCGTGAAGAATGCTCTTCTGAAGGGCTACCGCCACATCGACACGTACGTTGCCTCCTCCGTTAACTTAAACCCCACCAGGGGTACAAACACTCAAACTAACCTAACCAGCGCCCTGGCCTACGGCAACGAAGCCGAAGTCGGCCAAGGCATCAAGGACTCCGGCGTGCCGCGCGAGGAGATCTGGATCACCACCAAGCTGGACAACACGTGGCACCACCGCGTGTCCGAGGGCATTGAGTCGTCGCTGAAGGACCTGGGCGTGGACTACGTAGACCTCTACCTGGTGCACTGGCCCAGCAGCACCGACCCCAACGACAAGTCCAAGCACCTCCCGGACTGGGACTTCCTCAAGACATGGCAAGAGGTGCAGAAGCTCCCGGCCACCGGCAAGGTCCGCAACATCGGTGTCTCGAACTTCGGCATCAAGAACCTCGAGAAGCTCCTCAGTCACCCCAGCACCAAGATCGTCCCCGCCGTTAACCAGATCGAGCTGCACCCCAACAACCCCTCCCCGAAGCTGGTTGCCTACAACACCTCCAAGGGCATTCACTCGACGGGGTACTCTTGTCTCGGGTCCACGAACTCGCCCCTGTACAAGGACCCTACGCTGCTGCAGCTGGCCGAGAAGAAGGGTAAGACCCCCCAGCAGTGTCTGTTGCAGTGGGGTATTCAGAAGGGGTGGAGTGTTATCCCTAAGTCGGTGAGCAAGGAGCGCATTGATGCTAACTTTGAGCTGGATGGGTGGAACTTGACCGATGAGGAGGTCGCTCAGCTGGATAACTTGAAGGATCGCTTTAAGGTCTGTGGTGATAGCTGGCTTCCTATTAAGGTCTTCTTTGGCGATGACGAGTAGATCTTGATATTGTGATGATTACGGTCCGAGAGCATTAGAATATAGATATCCCTGAAATTGAATTGTATATACAAAGTCATCCCATGAAAAGCTCACTCAACATCTTCAAACCCTTACTAACATTCCCGGCGACGGCCGCGACTTGTCGGGAGAACTCCTGGGTCTGGTTCGCGATGGCTTCGGGTATGGGATTGTGGGCCGTCGCGATATATAGTAGATATATAGGTATCGAGGGGGTCAGTTTAGTCTGGTTATATAAAAAGGCTTTTCTAAGTCATACGTAATGTATTATAATAAGTACAATTTTGCTAATAGAATTCAGTTTAAATACCTATTGACACAGTTAGTAGGGTGCCGAAAAAAACTGCTATTACACTGTTTATCTACCGTCTACTAATGTCTACCGTCAGTAGATGTAGGCCTGTCTCTTGAGAATCGAGATATAGTACTTACTGCTTCTGTGATTGTATTATTTTTTTTATTATTTTTATAGACTTGCTCTACTATCTTAATATATCTACTATATCTATATAAGTCCGGTCTCTCTCTCTCCTAAATTACTATATATTCGCTTTTCTTTTTGTTCTTTTCTATCTTGTCGTATCCAGTCTATTGTTATTTTTTTTGAGATACTAAATTATTTAATAATTATTATTCTTCAGTATAACACTATTGAATTCTCTCTCTTGAATCATCCTTTTGATAAAGAGGATAGAGCTCGAATCCTTTAACTTTCTGCAGGATTGTGTTGACCTTTCGAGCCAGCATATCCAATTCCATCTCAAGAGGGCATGCATTACCAGCGCCACAACTATGTCCCAAGGTGGCTTTTGCACCAGAGATACGCAAGGCAATAGTCTCTGCAGAACAAATTCGAAACGGCTGTACAGAGGGCCAGAGCTCGGATTTCCTCAAAGCTGAAAAATATTCCGCCACGCGGTAGTCAGCGGTGCAATATTTGACGCAGAGTTGTTGGTTGCGGCAGGCATGACACCTTCCTGCTGAGTTTGGGTATGTTCTTCCACAGCGCACACAAACTAGCCCCTGCATCTCAAAGCCTCTTTGGTTATTTCTCAAGGAGCCCTCAAGGGATTGCAATTCATGCATGATTTCCTGCTGAAGGTTCTCAATGTGATCCGCTAAATCGCCTGCCTATGGTCAGACAATTAGGTTTAGAGAGATAGAAAAAGGTTGTACCCTTAGTAGCATCCGGTAGGAGCTTTAGAATATCAATACCCTGCCATTTGATGATAAATTCAGGTGAAAGTTGAGTCTGAGCACTCGCGGATAGCCGGGAAAATTGATCTTTCTCACGGAAAAGGTGTGCAGAGAGTAGAAGATAGCCATACTCCTCATCAGTCGTAATGGGTTGACAGTCATAGAACCACTTAAAGATCCACGGTCGGAGGGCCTTAATACAATCATACTTGTCACAGTGGATGGCCATAAGAGCAAGTCTCTCTGCATTCATTTGATCCTCCCCACTGCCTTTATAATGTAGAATCCCAAGTATAGTCCTCATGCAAGCTGGATCATCATCATGAAGAGAGATTGTAGGGCAGTGAGACTCTGTTATCTGCTTTCCCTCGCGAAAACCTGGACCTAATAATTTTGCAAGAACTGCGGATCCTAAGCTAAGAACCTTGGATGACACAAGGAACCGTCGAGTATTCTGGCCTTCAATAGATAAAATGAGGTTTCCGTCTGGATCGAGCGACTCAAGGTCCTGCTGCTCATCGGATTTGGTATAGCCGGAATCTTGACCTGACATTCTGATCTCCCAGATAATATACTGCCTAGACTTCAAGAATAGTAGCTTATTCCTTGAATCAATGCCGTCCTTAAAATTGAACTGATAAATACAGATTATACAGTTCACAATTTGCTCATCATCTTTACGTCATGCCCAAAGGAGAGCCACGGCTCGTGTTGCAGTATGCACGTTCAGTGAGCCAGGGTACGGTTATGGACGAAAAGTGCAGCAGTCTGAAGTATATGGTCATCAGGCTCAGGAAGACGATGGATATTATGGCCTCTCACTAGCTGAAGAAAGCTCTTACCAACCTCCTCTTGGGAAAGATGCCAGCCGCCATCAGAATTCAAGAAGACAACCTTGCCATTATGCCTCAGCTGAATTATTTTGCACGCATCCGTCTCACACTCCTAGCGGTATTCAAATATATAAGTGTATCCCCCGTCGATTCTGCTGTTGAGAATTTGATCTGGCACTGTGCGATTGCCGGCGCTGGATAGTTCTTTTCTTCGCCGCGATAATGTGAAATCAAAGATGAAATTGGAACAGTGATAGGCAAGCAGTTAGGACGAGCGATATGTCTGGGTTTAATAGTGTACAGTAGAAAATATCCTTGCCACTGTGGATTTCTTTAATATATTCTTATCTTTCTATTGAGAGGTAATCAAGCTTTTGAAGCTACTGTCCACAGCAAGAAATTTATTCTCCAAGGATAAGTATCTGCTGATAATCTACCTTATAATAGCACAAAGTAAATATTCATACTACAGTGTCCTCTATATTTTTTGTTTATATTTTGGATATATCCTAAGAAGCTGCTATTTTTCTAATAGTGCTATATATATATATTTAATTGGGCTCGACCTCCAAAAGCAACAGGGCACAGTTCTACATAAGCAATAGGGCGAAGTTGACGTGGTATAGGCTGATTTAGTGGTTAGTCTTAGGGCTACAGTTTCTCTTCGACATCCTGGCCCCAGTGATCTTGGCACGCTGTTGAACATGGAGGTTTATGGAGATCGGACGCAGCCACTGAGAGCCCATGTCCCAGTCTATGTGGCAGGCAACTATTTTGGAGTTTACAGGATAAAGGACTAAGCCGTGCGCCGCACTTGATCTGGGTTGTCAAGGTCGACTTGGTTAAGGAAGGGGATCTGGGCTTCATGCCGACTTATGTTCGCTGACGGACCTAGTACTTTTACACACAACGCATCAACTGGCAGTCTAGACGTGTCGACGACCCCTCGCGACCGCTCCCACTTCTCGGCCAAAGACATCGTTGACTACCTATGGGCAACGCTTGGTCTACCTGCCGCATCTCTGGAAAAACTTCAGCTCCCTAGCCGCGGCCCTTGGCTTGCCTTCCTCCTTTAAAGTTGCCCACCTTGCACAGACATCGATCGGCCTTTCGGCCTTGTTGGCTGTGCAAATATACGCCCATCGCATCAACTCAGCTCTGCCCACAGTGGCAGTGCCCTTGTAACATGCAACGATTGAGTTCAAGTCTGAGAGACTGTATACCCTGGCAGACAAGGCCGCCTCGTCGCCATGGGGTCCTATCGGCGGCTTACACAAGACCTCCGATGGTTATGTCCGCGTACACGACTCCTTCTCCAATCATCGTGACGGTGCTCTGGCTCTAGTCGGGTGCCAACCGAATGCCACCCGCGCGGAACTAAGCTCCAGAATCGAAAGATGGCGCTCTGTCGACCTCGAGGCTGCTGCATTCGACAATCGCGTTGTCATTTCCGCTCTTCGATCTTATTCCCAATGGGGTGTACCTCCCCAAGCGCAGAAGGTCGCCGACTTCCCCATCGCCTTACGCAAACTCTGCGATGGACCTACTGGACGTCCTTCTACTATGCAATCACGGCCTGATAAGGCCCTTCGCGGACTGCAGGTTCCCGAGCTCTCCCGGGTGATCGCTGCGCCTCTCTCTGGCCGAACGCTAGCTGCACATAGTGCCGATGTTGTCTGGGTGACCAGCCCTAACCTCCCCGATCTCCCAACTATGGATCGCGACTTCCACCGAGGCAAGCGTACAATCCAGCTTGATCTGAACACCTCACCGGACCAGAACAAACTATCTCAGCTCCTCGAGGACGAATACGTATTTGGAAACCCGCGAAACAGGCTCCCGAGAGATGACTGCTATTCGGCACTTGGCTTCGATCGAGGGCGTGGAAGTTGGCTGGGATATAATGCCCAAGCCTCTGGGCTCGGACAAGATAAAATGGCTGTAGGGGTGGGCTAGCACCCCTATTAGTTTATGGGATATTATTACTTGAGCATTTTTCTCAACACAACCTGCAGACAATAGAGTAGCTATGGTTTGAACCGCATTGTATTTCAATTTTGAAAGAATCCAAATACATGACCAAATCAACGTCGACGTCAGGTTATAAAACTGTTGGCACCTACCTTCTCTGGCAATCTTGTGACCGCAGACATAATCACCGAGGCGAAGCTCCTGTTCTCATTACGATAGATGCTGGCATGACCACCCTTTGAGGAGAGCCGCTGTTGCGGAGTGGCCGCTACGAGCCTCCGTATAGACTGCCAACCCATTAATGCATGCCGACGACAATTCTCCGGCCCGAGGAGATAGTAGCACGGTCGCTCCATAATGTGCGCCAAGCAGTACTTTTGCAGTCATCTACTGACGTGTGAGTGTTGATCGGCAATTGTTGTTTGTCACCACAACACTCGCAGAACTTTTATTGGGCCTGTACCATGGCGTGCAGCAGCGGTCCGAGCTGCTTTTGGTACTACGCTGTAGGTACCCTGGAGGTCACTCGGGTGGGTCTTGGATGTCACATACTACCACCATCGCTTGCTAGAATCTGAACGCTATTCCCTGCGACCTCCAAGAGCTATGGCCTCTGATATTGGATAGCCACTGCTGGATCGAGTAGTCCTTTCAGCGAATCTTGTTCCAGGATCAGGATCCTTTCGATAGAACTGTGGCGCGTAAGGGATTGATCTGCTTCACCACTTCATCAATGCATGCAGGCAATGTCGAGCGTCTGGTTCAGGCAGAGGCAGCCACGGCCACTCCGGAAATGTACCACGCGTGAGCGGAAGGCCGGAATTCATCAGATTGTGGAGGTATGATGTGTTCGAGAGCACTATAGGTTCCCCCAACACCACTTTGTACCATGTAAACTTTCGGAATCCCCGTCTTCCCGCCAGCCACACCTTCTATCATAAAAGGTAGTATCCACCCCAAACATAACACGGACATGACTTTCAGAATACTTCAATGGTTGCCCAATATGTTGTGAACTTTTGCTGACGGTCCGTGCCGCCCCCCTGTCTTCCGAATCACCCATTCAGATCCCACGTCGTTCACCTTCCTGCATATCCGATGCGGGGCTAAGAAAGTCAAGATAGAGGGTAGTGTGCTGCCAATCCCAGATCATGGAAAGACGGTTTCATATCCTCGGAAATGTTCCTACGTGCGGAGAGATGAGTTCGCCTGGCTGCCCTCATTTAATGCAATGTATCTCGTACCTCGCGAGCCTGGCAGCGGCACATAGTCCCTAGGCTACTCCAATCCAGCCATTTGTTGGGCAGGGCGCCTGGGATTGGGATGATGGTTATCATACCTTAATATCTTCGAATGATACTCTTACAATATCACCGCATGGAGGCGATGGTTCGGCGTAGTGAGCCTCTCAATTGAACATTATAGCCTTTTTAGCTTGGTGGCTTAGCCCAACCTTTCTGAGGTCGTAGAGCTATTTGATGTCTACCTAAATTGACTTTTATTGCGAAATTTTAGCACAAGATGCCGCCACACGTTCCCAAGTCTATTACAACCATGTTCAGGCTTTGTGGCCAGTAACATTCGGCTACTGTATTTCTTTGGACAGGTATCTTATGGCGCATGGGCTTCTGTCATCTAGCTGAGGAGATGGACCATAGACGGGGTTGTGCCAGTGACCGGCAGGGAATGCCATGCATTAGGTTTCTGAAGCTTTACCAACCATGCCCCTCGTGCCTAATTCATCTCTGGAGGAGGCAACCACTCAACCTACCCGATGGACCGGCGACCGGATAAGTAGTTACATTTTGGGTCAGGCAGCTTTGGATACGTCATACTCCTTTTGGGATAGGCGTACAAGATTAGAAGGCCATCATAGAATCACCAGACAGTGCCTGCGCGGCGCAAGGACAGGCATGAGGGGGTGAGAAGCTAGCATCTTACAGGACCACCTACAGTGGGTCCTAGGACAGTTGGGGGAAACGAATGGCGCAATACTGATGTCGTAGTGGAGGGGAGCGGGATTTGATATATGCACGGTATCTTCGCTTGGGTGGGCTTTTCTGGAGAGTGGCAGAGTATTCCACTTCTTGTCTCTGTATATCGACGGGTGGCACTCGCCAATCACTTAACCTATCTGCTACTGGCCCCCTCAAAAGGCCCGACCTCGAGCTATTACCTGTGAAAATGCAACTAATGCCTTGCCTTCATGCAAGAATGAGTGGTCCTTGCGGGGTCATTCAGCTTCTCTGTCACACATGAATAGCAATCTTGGGATATTATTGATTTCCACAAATGCATGAAGGAACCAGAAAGTACCGAGCAGTGCAGCAGAGCTGATCGTATGGACGATTGGTAAGGTATAAATATCTCGGATTGAACCCTTCACCAAGTCATCAAAAAGAATTCATTTCTCAGTCAACCACGCAATTAGTGAATCGACCGTACTGTGAGTACGCTTTCCACATTCCTTTATGGCACATGGTTGACTTATTTCTCCACAGCCAACTCTATCTATCCAAATGGCTACAAGAGACGATATCGTTCTTACCAATAACGACACCCGCGCACTCCGCGTCGAAGTGCCCAAGGATGGCCTCCTCGTCTTCCGTGCTCGAAGCTTCCGACCAGCTGTTCTCACCGAAGACCAGAACACAACCCTGGAGCTCGACACGGCGAAGATGTCCTCCTCCACATCTCCCTCCGTGCCGAGAAACGCCTTGTTCTCGACAGCCGCAAGGCCGGAGAGGACTGGGGAGCCAGAAGAGAGGTCGTCGATGGTATCCAGCTAAACCGCAGTAGCCCGACTATCACCATCTTCAACCACGGTGAAAACGGGTACCAAGTTCTGTTCGATTACCAGACCGTCGCCTTCTACCGGAAGGGATTTGCCCCCAATAAGGAGATTTCTTCAGTTCGTTACGCCACAAGTCCAGCGGGTGCAGAGGGTGCGCTTGGGAAAGAGGTCAATGTGTTTAGCTTTGAACGGCTTGGGGATTTCACGGCTCCTTGAATACAAGCGAGGCGTGATAGGGGGATGACAGCCTTTGTGTGGTTTTTATCCTGATAGTGGTTTTCCCACACATGCGTGTGAATGCAGAGGCGTCCTGTTCTCTTAGCGTATATCCTATCTAAATCTATGTTAGCTGGTTTGAATGTTTTTCGCGATACACCCGTGTCGTTGTTAGACATCGCCAAAACAAAACCCGCGGGTTAATCTCTTTCTTGACGGATTTCAAATCAAGATTCAAGGATATCAATCCGTGTATTAATTTACTAACAGGCAAGACCGGCCTTTTGAGTTTTGAAACAACCCTAAATAGCCCATGATGTGCGCTAACTTCAAAATGATATACATTCGTGATCCTATGGTAGGATGGCATCAGGGACTTGGCTTCATCACGCCTTTGTTGGATAGATAGCCTATTTCAAGTCCCATTGTCGTGAATGACTCTAACCCTAGTTACCCTAGTTACCCTACCTAGCAGCTTTCTCCTGGGCTTGGTGCTTGCGAGAAAACCTTTTGGTCGTTCTCCAAGGCTCTCTTTATATTAGTTTGTTAACTTCTTGTACTTCAAATGATGTAGTGTGCTACTCTAGTATCGCTGTAATAGTTTCCAGCGTCCTTGCGAGATTGTGATATGTCGAGTATGCGTCCTGACGCCTCATTTTCAATCTCAGATGTAACATCAAAAGGCAATATATCCTGTCAAGCATTGTCTTGGTGCGCAATGCCCCACCGAAGGAAGCCTACAGTATGTGTAAATGTGGCATCGTGTTCCAATAGGAATGCTATTGCTTTGGTCACGCTTACAGTTGTGTTGATTCTGTTCTTTTCTTCTATGATGAATTGTATCTCTGCTTTCTTTACTTACTTAGATTGAGAGATCGTTTTAGGAATTGCTATTAGCTTTCTCAATATACAAGTATCTTCTTCTACCGCATTATCTAGGCCACAATCTCTTGGACAGGAGTATATCAACGACATAACAAGACATTTCGCAGACTTCAAGAGGGCAGAGAATTGCCAAGAACGGCCACTGCATCGTGCAAGTCCAGTTCCTGCAGGTTCCCATATTTGAACAATACTTTCAAGGCCGCGTAGTCCTTCAGCTCTACTGCCTTGAACACCATTTCCTGTGACAGCTTGATATCCACTTTGTGCTCAATGAAAGTCTGCAGGATCGATCCATGGCACGCGTTAAAGGCACCCATGACGAGATCGTGCGTCACCTCGATCTTGAAATTGCTTTCCAGGATCAGGTCAAGAATAGCAATGTAACCCGAATCTTTAAGAATATTCGTGGTTGACATCACGGCATTCAAGATTTCCTGGCACTTGTTCGCATCTTTCACTCTAGCAAAGAGGTATTCTAAGTCTGTTGACTCTAGATAATGCCAATCTGCGGCGTTGATGAACATCTCGGGACACACTTCGACGTGGGGAGCGAGATTCCAGAGCAGTTTCAGCATGTCGGTGGTACATTGGGCATTCCCTGATGCCTCAATGAGTATTTCCTCGGATATGACAGGGCGGCTTAGTGTCAAGAGATGTTTCATTACCGCCAGGCTTCCCTTGGCCGCGGCTTGCAATAAAAGGGACGGGGTAGCCTCGGTAATTGAACATCTGTCGAGAACTAGACTCAGTGTCCTGACGTTGCCTGACCCAGCCGCAGTATAAGCATGTGTTTCATTGAAGGCAAGATGGCCGAATCGAGTCTCAAGCATCTGTATAATCTCGTAACCTGCAAGGTCATTCCGCACAATCCCGTCGATTACTTCCGCAGATGGCTTCTCGACCGCAGCATATCGATGCAGCAGAAGCTTTGTCATCTCATCGCCATATCGACGATTCTTAACCGCGCCAAGCAGGAGTCGATTTGATATCACCGTCAACCCGTGTCGATCCAGGAGCGTTGGTATCGTTTCGTCGTACTCTAGGAACCTTAATGCGCTCTCTATCACAGCACCTGTAGTCTCCATCTCTCGGCTGTCCTCTAGGATAATATCCAGAATGGTGTTCCCTTTCATCGAGTTCTTCGTGAAAGCAATCAAATTCTGTTCTGGAATCTTCAGACCAGGCTTCATCCCAAGCAGCGCTTGGAGCGTGTCTGGATTTCCCCATGTGTTTTCCGCGCAACGCAGCATCATCTGAAGCCACAGGTCATCATCCAATGGACAGTCCATTAGTGATACAAGGAGCTTGACCATTGCGCTCCCATCATAAATATTCTTCGCACCACCAGCGATCACCTCGGGTGTCAGCTGGCCTCCGGCCTCAAGGAGTAGCTTAAAAGGAGCCGACATCCCCCATTCAACGGCACGTTGAAGAATATTCTGGGTGACCGGCCATCCGCGATCAAGAAGCATCTTCACCATCTCGCAACTCGGGTTGCTTTCAATGGCTTTCGCCATGGCTGCCTCGGTTACTTTGATCGACCCAGCACGGTCCAACAAAAGCTCCATTTTCAATCTCATGCTTTCTTCTCCATCTCCCAGATATCCCAGCATTGCGATGGCGTCACATGTGATAATAGATGGATTATTCTTATCGAGGATATCTTCCAGAGCATCAATCTCGATAGGACCAATGGCATTAACCAGAATTTGGGGAGTGATGGCAACATCAGGAGCGCGACTTAGCAGTGCTTCGATAGCCCCATAGAACCAGCCACATTTTTCAATCAATTCTGCTGTGATGTGAAGATCCTTGTTATGATCAAGCAAGAGGTCGAATATCTCCTTGTCTGCCCGGCTTGCACGAACGATAACTCTCTCTGTGATCAGGCTAGGCTCGATAAGACTCAAGAACCACCGGAGTGCCTCTATATCATTATTCTGGACCAAGGCGCTCAGGACGCGCTTTTGCAGCATTTGGTTTTTCATTTCACCCATCAGAAACTGCAGAATATCATAGTGTCCGTGGGTTGCGGCCGCTATGATACATTGTTCTTGGACGTCGACGTCGAGATCACGGTACTGGTCCATGCGAAGAATCTCCCCAAAACCGAAGACGCATGAAAGTAAGAACCCCCTGTCTCGGGATCGGTGGTAGTTTCGTAATAGCTTCAGCATGTGGCTACTTTCCGTACTTTCCATCCTTCGGCGTTGGCGCGATCGCACCCAGCAGTTCAATGGGCAGTTTGGTCCTGAATCGTTGAACAGAAAATAGCGGAGCAATTGGGAAAGACGCAGCGTATCGTTTGCTCGGTTGTCTTCTCCAGCGCATGCACAATGTTCGGCCCAGTTACGCAAAGCGTAATCATGTATGCCCCTCTGGTAAGAGTCAGTCTCGGGCAAAGTTACTGTAGCGTTCGCAGCAAGACCGAGATGTCCCAGGAATCGATCTGCATCTTGCGATCCATACGCCCTGACCAACTGGAGGAGGCAAACCTCTGCGGTGAACCTGTTACTCACTTCGCTGCAGTATTCAGGCTTGGTTTCTAAGAACTCCCGCACAGAAAGGTGGGCGAAGCGGAAAGTATGACTACCCTCCTCTGTTGTGTCGAAGACCACGAAACCAGCCAAGAGATTCGAGATATCATCCTCGCTGATCTCAGAAGCCTCGATATTCACGAAACTTGTGATTGCCCGAGAGAAGTCCTTCCAAACGAGAACCCAGGTTGCACAGAGCATCCATCTTAGCGTGTTCTGGAATACAGCCACAGCCGTTCCCCGAGTATCTGTAAGCGCATTCTGATAAAGCTGCTCGTAGAGGTCGCTCAGAGGGCGCGGGGTCTCAGATAGAGCATTTCGGATATCTCTCTCTGTACGGATCCAACCAAGACTCTGCAACTTCAACTGCGCCCATCGAAACCTAAAACGGATAAGTATGTATGTCATTGCAATATTAGAAATGCTTAGCTCACACCCCGTCAGCCTTAGAGACGACATCTTCCTTGATTAAAACCTTTAGCTGCTCTCTTTCCCGTCCTTCGATATCGGCAAGCAACTGGTTCTCTGTGACTAGTCTGTCCGTCTCCGTATTGACAAATCTCACAATATCAGATACATTATCTAGGCATGTCACTTGGATTCCAGGATATGACTGAAGATGTAGTCGCAAGCCAGGCTCCTCACGCGAAGTGACAAAGACCTTTACGAGGCTAGTCGATTCGTCAGTAATGTACTTCAGTTCGTTGACGATCTCAGCCCGCTCGTCCATGCCACTCTCATCTAGAGCATCAACCACAATCATAGTCCTAGAGTAAGCCTCTGTCAGCTCCTTGATTAGGTCAGAAAGTTCTCGCAGATCAGGTGTACTCGTAGAGTCCTCATCAGAGTGCATCCTATGAAAGAAAGCGACCGTCTTCAGGGCCAGCGGCTCCTCTAAAGACTGGATCGAGAGTTGACGTGCAATACACCCAAGAATGTCTTTCGCTTTCGCACGTTGTGGCTCGGTCGTGCTACAGGAGCAATAGAAGTAGGCATGAGCAACATTTAGGCTCACCCTGGAGACCTCCAAGCATTCTTCAATGACTGCCGATGCTATGCAGCTCTTGCCGGTGCCTTGGGTACCATGTAGCCAGAACAAGGAGCTCGTACTCTCGTCTTTCCACCTGGTGAAGGCTTCGTGCTGTAGAACCCATTGACACGTCCCGTCTAGTACTCTCGATTTTATTGCTCTGTGGTGGTCGAGATATGGCTGTGTAGATAGCCAATTCAAGATATGCATCCGCTGTGTACCTTTGCATATTAGGCTGATATCATCTGGTAAATAGGAGAACACTCACTATCTAAAGTATCCTCGGGGTTGTCTCGCTCAGACGCCATTTGGGACGTTGATTGTTCCGTCTGTTTCAGCGTATCACACAAACGGAACTTATGTTTCTCTGCCAGACGATCAGTCTTTCACGTTCTTGGTTGTGACCGCATTCATAACCTTACCCAACGAAAGCGCCGAAAGAAGAGCAATGATATCAACGTTGACCATGCCAATATACTGGGCTATATATAATAGGACACAGGCCTGAGGTAAGTCAAGTACTCACTTTCCACTTAATCCAAGCTCATACTTCGAGCACCTCTTTCGCTTGGTCGGGATGGTCATGCTTTATTTTATTTATGATTTCGCAATGCGTGGACAGCCAACCTGTAGGACGCCGAAATCGTCAAAGATGATGTGGAGAGGAAAGAATGAGGCTGATGCCTGGCAGGCATCCAAGTGGGGACGGTGGTTTTCAAGCCCTAGCGAAGGCGCTGCGTTAGCTTCTGGGGCCGATCATAGCCTGGGTAGGATATATGTGGTCTGTTATACCAGGTATCGATCCTCCTAGTGGATCACGACCCACAGTACTTTCAGGTATCGGCTACTTAGGACTATGTTCTGATCCAAGCTGTATATTTTACAATTTTAGTTGTTGTGGCCTGCCGTTGAGACAATTGGGCGAAAGCTGAAAGATTTAACATTAACGTAAGGTACTAAGGCAGCAACACGGAGGTCGAACTCAGTGCAGTGCTGAAGTAGATTACATGGATATCAGACTATGATACCATTCAGCCTTGGCGACGATTGCTTTCTGAATTTTAAAAGTGAATTGCTTCCTATGGGCTATGGATACCTTCAATCTGACATTCAGACTGGATAGCAGAGTTGCTGCACCCGACAAGATCAAAACAAATAGCAAAAGCGATCCTTAATGGAAGAAGAGAATGGTAGAAGGGAAGCAGTGCAGATGGTCCAAAACCGACACTGCGGGAATAGCCAATTCCCTAATCATACGGTCATCATTGACCTCTCATCGACACTTTGCGCCTACTTAGTTCTTGTTGACATTTTCCAAGTGGTCCATAACGGCGCACTTCCAATCATCGGTGCCGTAGTAGATGGTGTACTGATCGTTGGGAGACACGCCCGTGGACAGCTTCTGACCATACTGCCAGAACAGATCGGCGGCGGTGCCCGAGCTCAGCGAGGTCTTTTGCCACTTCAGTTCGTCGGTACAATGATTGCCCTTCATGCCATACTCCTCGAACAGACATGGCTTGCCGGCAGCCTTGCAGGCCTTGGCGTGGTTCTCAACCCATCCATTGCCCCAGGCGTTGTCCTTGATACCCCCTGCAAGAGTAAGTTAGACTTCGTTTATATGCTAATGGATACCATGGTAGTCACTCACAGTCAGTGGTGTAAAGGTGGAGCGTTCCGAAGTCAATGTCCGGGATAGCCAGGTTCTTCTCGAAGTCGTTTCCTTCGGTGGTGGAGTACGGGTACGACTGATCAGAGCCAATGGTCAAGCCCATGCCCTCTAAATAAAGATTAGTCACGTTCTACTATATATCATCAATATGCGTACCATCACCCAAGGCGACCATGTGGTTGGCATCCAGAGACTTGATGTAAGCGCTGGTCTTAGTGGCCCAACCGTGGATAACATCAGGGCTGCATCCGCTGCAGCGAGGCTCATTGCCCAACTCCCAAGCGAAGATCGCAGGAGAATCCCTGTACCGAGAAACAACGGCCTTAATATAGGCCTGGTACACACTCTGGATCTTCTCGTTGGTGAACCACTCAGTCTTGCTGCCGCCGTAGGCAGTGACGTAGGCGTTAAATCCACCGTAGTCGTCCCAGCTGTTCACGAAAGGAATGATGAGCTTGACGCCGTGCTTCTCAGCGGCAGCAACCACATAGTCCAGACGCTGGAGACCGTCTTTGCCGGTGTTGATGGTGGAGGTGCCCTTCGCCTTGTCGTGGAGCTGGAAGTAGACCGTTCCGGGGCTGGGAGCGGTGTTCACATCGTTGAAGCCCCAGACACGAAGGATCTTCAATCCGGTTTGCTCCAAATGGTCGAACACGGCGTCGATGTCCGCATCGTTCATTTGGAACGGGAGCCAGTAGGAGTTTGTGCCAGCGAAGTACTTGGTCTCGCCGTCAATCGAGAATTGCACTCCATCCGCCTTGGCGAAGGACCCGCTGCCCGTCGGGCGAGGTGCTGGAGAGGCGGACGACGAAGACGGCAGGGGAGTGGACTTCGACGACGCTGTCGAAATTGACTTGTTGATGCCCGTACTGACGGATGCAGTGATGGACACCGAAGGAGTGACAGACGGCGTGGGAGTGCTCGACACGGCCGCAGTCGTGGACTCGGCACCTTGGAGATACGGGTTAGATTTGGTTCGTTCTTGGCACGGACAGGGTAAGTCAGTTTTTTCTTACCAGGCACGCAATGGCTAAACCACTCGCTCAGCTCCTCGCATGTCCATCCCGAAGGACACGCAGATGAGCCGGAGAAGGACTTGCCTCCACACTGTGCCCAGGGACCAGCCTGGGCCGACGCAGCTCCCACCACAGACAGGAGTGCGATAGACGAAAAGGAACGCATTATGAGAAAAGAGCGAAAGAAGAAAAAGAAGGAAGGAAAGGATTTAAAGAAAGTTATCGTTTTGTCGAGCAGAACGGCAGGGACTCGGGGCCATCGCGAGCTGCTTTATAGTTTGTGAGGCCGACGATGTGTCTGTCAAGCCGAGACTATCCACGACTCCTTGAAACCTTGAGAAATTAGGGGAACGCTGTCATCCTATCTAATGTCCATCGGACTTAGTATCAATTGACGCATTCGACGTTCTGCTTCGAGCTGTTTTGGTCTGATTTTGGTCAGTGGAATCCACATGGCGGAGCAAGTTCCATGGGAGCCGGTGCCGAAGCGGACCCTGCTTCCTTGTCCGTTTAGGCAAGGATTGTCTTAGTTTGATACTCTTAGTCTCTGAGAGGATCGATTAATTTATTCTGGGTCAATTCCGTCTGGTCCCTGCGTCGCACATGCTAAACTAGCTACTCACTAGTTTCCTAAGCCGAAAGTATGCTTGGAGTGGGATATCGAAGGCAGACACCAAGAATAGACAGACCTTAACCCCATACCGGTCTCATGCACCTGGAACAAAGGTTAATTGCAAAATCAAGTCAACTATACGAGGACCATATTTCTAACCAATCACTTACAGAAAGCATCCCTGAAAAAAATAAAAGAAAGTACCAAGTGCAAAGACAAAAACGGCACGGTATAGAGAACAACCTCATGCCACAACCCGGCAAACGTCGGCCCCCGAGGAAGCCGAGACGATGATTGGTAGAACGCCGTTGAACTGATATGAAATGGTCCCAGCGTTCATTATCCTGAAACACTTGCCTTGTTCTTTCCCCGCCCAACAGACCGTTTCCTTTCGAGAAAGGAACTCAACAAGACCATACAACCATTAGGGCTAGGAAAGAGATACAACCCCCGTTCACTCACCTGTCTCAGAATCGCAGCCACCACCGCATTTTCAACGGCCATGAAATGAAGGCAGTCCTACACAATACGCCACTGACTCAACCGAACCACACTTTAGGCACGGAAAATGTACAATGGTCGTTCTAGAACAGAGGCATCATGAGGCTGCACCCGGCAATACCCCATTGATGGGTCCTGAGAAGCCGAAAGACTGACCAGATTCGGCAACGCACCATTAGGAGCCATGAGATAGTCTAATCTTGACGTGAATATAAAACCGTACAGCCTACCTTCACTCCCAAGAACATTCTTTTTCACATCAAACAAGTCCTGGAGACATAGTCATTCTTTTACAACGCTTTCATTTCTATATCTACCAAGATGAAGTTCTTCATTCCCTGCATTGCCGCTATCTTCGCCACTGGAGTGCTGGCCGCTCCAACTCCCGATGCTTCTCTCGAGGTTTCCCTCGCCAAGAGGGCTGATCGCGGACAATACACCGTCTCTGGCCTCGGATCCCGCAAGAAGGCCATCATCGAAGCGGGTGGCAACTCCCTTGATATCGCCATTGCCATGCTCGAAATGTAAGAAAGCACAATCTGCAAGTAGGCCGTTCTAACGCGAAATGTACCAGTGAGGATATGAACACCGCCAACTACCCCTACGGCGACGGCAAGACCTACGACGCCGCCAACTTTGGTCTGTTCAAACAGAACTGGGGCTTGCTTCGCGAGTGCGCCCACCGCTATGGCTTCAAGGGGAAGTCGGAAGCCCAATGGAACGATGGAGCCGTCATGAAGTACGATATTTTTCTTGAGATTTCTTTTTTGGAACATTGACTGATAACAAAAAGCTCGAATGTCTACGCCGACGTTGCCTCTCGCTGGGATTGCCAGAACTACTACGGTTACGATAAGTGGTTCGCCGGACACCGCAACGGTGCTTCTGGTCTTGCTAACCCCAACACGCCGGATATCAATAGTAAGATATTATTATTCTATTAATATACTGACCCCTTGGACCAGACGCTGATGAAATCATTTTCTAGCCTACAAGTCCGCCGTCCAGTGGATCCAGCAGCAGATTGACAGCAACGAGAAGTACAAGTACGACGACACCCGCTTCTGGGTCAGCGTCGTTGCCATCTAAGTATATGTCTTGGTGGTATTTGGAGTTTTCTGTGGATTTTGTTGTTTGCAATAGTGACCTCGCTCTGTAGTATACTTTTCTTCTTGTTGTAGCCTTTGTGCCGTTCACCTTGGGGGTATTATAGCATGTACTAGCTTGGGGAATTTTATTCTTGATAGACTTGTCGTTTCAGATCTCCTCGTAGATTAACAATCCAAGTAAGCGTCTTTATAATCCATTTTATAGTAACTAATCAATCCACTTCAAAAACCAAATGTATACCCAATTACTAATAAGCGCCGTCGTGGTGTTCGAAGCAGCAAATCGGAAGTCAGGGATGGCAACAACTGCTCAGCACTAATCCGGCACTAGCCCTAAGTCCATGCAAGTAAACAAGTAACCATTTTCACTATGCTCCACAAACAAGACGATAGATAATATGAACATATATGTCCTCATCAGCTTACTAGATCCCTGCCCAATCACAGCGTCTTATGGTGAGTTGAAAAACTAAGCTGAACCCACACATGCATACTATACTAGCTATGATACAAGTTTTCAGTAACCCCGCATCCATCCACAGAAGGACTACTATATATAAATAGATCCTATATTATCATACATGGCTTTGACCCTATACCTTAACAATATATATCCTAGATACCATACTCTGACCCAACACAATATCTCCAATATTCCACAATGCCCCCAACTCCAACAATCCTCATAATCCCCGGCCTCTGGGAAGGTCCCACAGGCTTCGATCCCATCGCAGCCCTACTCACAGCCTCCAACCTCAAAACTGAAATCGCCACTCTCCCAAGCACAGGCACTATATCTCCGGGCAACCCAAGTCTCAAAGACGATGTCATAGCAGTACGTGCCCATATTGACAAACTCGTCCAACAAGGTGAAGACATCCTATTGGTCCTCCACTCCGCAGGCGGATTTATCGGCTGCGAAGCAATGGAGGGGCTTAGCAAGAAAGCCCGCGAAGAACGGGGACTCAGTGGGGGTGTTGTGGGGATTGTGTTTGTAGCTGCTGCTGTCGTGGAGGAGGGGTATGTGCATCAGGCTTTGCCGTTTGCTGCTGAGGAGGTTTGTTCCCCTTTTTCTTTTTTTGTGGTGGTGGGGATGGGGGCGGATTACTGACTTTGATATTTCTATGCAGGGCGGAGCGTTGCATTGTATACAGCCGGAACGGACGCTTTTTAACGATCTTGATGAGGCAGGGAAAAGGAAGTGGTTGGGGGTGCTTAGGCCTCAGCCTGCCCATGGTTGGCGGGGAACGACGACGTTTGCGGGTTGGAAGGATGTGGAGAGTGTGTATCTTGTTTGTGAGGAGGATCAAAGTCTCCCGGTTTTCCTGCAGGAGGAGTTTGCTGGGTTAGCTGGAAGTAAGATTGAAAGGTGCAGTGCAGGCCATATGCCGCATTTGAGTCAGCCGAGCAGGGTTGTGGAAGTGATCAAAGACGCGGTTGCCGCTTTTGCTTGAAGCGCTTTTGAGTGAGATGTCTCAGGCCAATGCTGCATTTATCGGTTTCCTATCGGTGTCGCAAGAATTGCTCACAGCATAAGCATTCAACTACCCTGTATGGTGACATCGTTCTTCCATTTATCTTGTTACTGGAGTGCTACGTAAGTGTCAGAAGGCAGGGTCTCCATATAATGGTATGGATTTGAATTCGTTCATTTATTGAATGCCAAACAAGGATACTTACTACGTGCATCAGATAGTGGGTCTTTGGTTTCCACATTACCCATACAATAAACGAAATTCCGGTTATCCTCCGAGCAAAGGAAGCTATGTCCAGGTCGTCTGAAAGAGATCAAGAATGGCCAGCCGTCTCCTCGATATCAACACCGATGATCGATACTAGACCAGATACGTTTCCGATGGCAATCGTACCGTTGTAGTAGGCAGACACCTTCGGTCGGTACTCAACTGGTAACCACAGAAACCTTTCTTGTCCGATGTATAGCCATTGGTCTCCCAATATCATATCCTTTCGTCGAGGAGCTAGGGAGTTGTGCTCTTGAGCACCTCCGTGTGAACCAATACGAAATGCACCAAAGTCTGCTTCCAAATAATTGCCATCAGTTGCAAAGCGCAAATGTCCAGTTCCGTTTCGGTAATGAACCGAGTTACCGTTAGAAGTAAAGAGCAGTTCTCCAGTGTCTCTGTCCCACAAACGAATTGTTTGAGAAAGAGTCCCTGATACGACAAATCTTCCATTTGAAGAGATAGCTAGCTGATTAATTGCTCCGCAGTCCTGGAGTGTTTGAGACAGTTTGTTTGTGGCTAAGTCCCAAATACGGACTTTTGCGTCAATAGAGCCCGAGGCTATGAAGCTTTCATCAGGCGAAAATGCCACCGCTGTAATTTTGCTTTTGTGACCGTCTAGCTCTCGCTGCAATGTGCCTGTGGTTGCATCACAAACTCGCAGCACATTACCAGAGCTTGAGGCAAGCTTTGTGCCACTTGGTGAGAATGCTATACACACCCAACTTCTACCCCCATCCATGGAATAGAGTCGTTCTCCTGTTTTTATGTCCCATAGGGTAATTGTCCATTCTTCGTCAATCGAGACAAGCTGCTGACAATTAGGAGAAAATATGACACGATCAACCGAACTCGAATGGTCCCCGAGTGTCTGGTAAAGCTCACACGTATCCGTGCTCCATAGTTGAATAGCGGCACTATCAGACCTCGGCCGAAAAGCCACCAGAGTGCTGTCTGGTGAAAATGCGAGTGTGTTTGACTTTCCTGAGTAGTCATCCAGTAACTCTAGTGGCATGCCAGTTGCAAGGTTCCATAGCTGGATTTTATAATCAGTGGAACCTGACCCTAGAAACCTGCCATCTGGGGAAATTTTAGTCGCAGCGACTTCATAGGAATGCTTTTGGAGAGCTTTGGGCACTGCAACCAGGTTTGTGTCCCAAATCCGTACGGTACTATCAGCAGAGCATGACACTAGCAGCTCGCCATTTGGTGAAAAGGTTGCTCCAAAGATTTCACGAGCATGGCCCTTAAATGTCTGGATCGGACTATCCATGCTCTTATCCCATAATTGGAGATCCTGTCCGCCAGCAGTTGCCATCCTTCCATCAGGTGAGAATGCCAAAGACGAAATTCGGCCGGCACGTAAGGCTTTTCTCAGCTTCCCTGTGGCTGCATCCCATAACCGGATTGTTCCGTCCCTAGAGCCCGAAACCACGAGCTCGTTGTTCGGCGAAAACCTCACTGCACTAACGAAGTCGTCGTGCTCTGAGGTCCATAACAAAGCTCCTGTATCTGTATCCCAAACCCTGACCGTATAATCCAAAGAGCCAGATGCTATCAGCTTGCCATCTGGTGAAACTGCCACTGCTTCAACGAAGTGTTCATGGTCCTTCAGGGTTTGTACTACTGAACAAGTAGCTAGATCCCAGATTTTGATTGTATTATCGTTGGACCCCGACACTAGTCGATTACCATCTGGTGAGAACACGAGGGCTTTCACTCTAGAGGTATGCTCTGCCAAAGTCTTCTGCAGTACACCTATAGCCATATCCCACAGCTGAATATCTTCGCCAGAGCTGGTTGCCACCAACTTACTATCCACTGAAAATGCCACGGCTGAGACATCATAATCGTGCTCCAAGGTGTGGAGTAAAATCCCTGTGCTTGGATCCCAAAGTTTTACTGTGTAATCGTTAGAACCAGAGGCTATTAGTCTACCATCTGGCGAGAATGCAACAACATTCACGTCCTTAGTATGTTCCAAAGTTAGGAGTTGTGAATCCCAGTTTACTTCCACTCTAGGCAACGTAACAAAGCGCCTAGATATGTCATCATGAAAAGTATTCCTCACAATAGACTTTTGTGGCGCAAATATCAGGGCAGCAGAGTAGAATTGAAGGGGTGCAGTGTTGGCAATCCATATATTCTTTAAAACGAACCGATTTGCGTCATAAAGAAATGCTGATACTATTGAACTGGAATCAGACTTGAAGCAGGTCAGCGTAAACTCAGAAGGTGAATCATTCCGGTCTTATGAGAATGTTAAACCTACATGCACCGAGGTTTGTAATATCCTGATGGCGCTCACAGTCTCCGATGCCAACCCCAGGATACTCATTGCTTCCAACCAGTGGAGAAAATACGTTTCCAGAAAGGTGTGGATATTGTCTTGATCGGTAATTCGATAGCTTCCGCATTCTAAATGATGTATCCAGTAACGACACGAGTACTGAAGTTCTGCTGGAATATTGTCCCGAATAATTTCGTCACTTATCTCATCGCGCAATATTCCGTCATTTGGCAATTGACAAATATTCCTTGAAAGTCCACCTTTTGTTCTGGTCATCACATTAATGCATCTGAGTAGTGTCTCCTTATGTGTCTGCTTCTCATCAATCCAGAAATCAGTCTTTGTACGGATTTTAGGATGAAGAAGAAAATCCCGAAATGATTGATGGAATATCTGTATAGGAGTATCTTGGTCAGGAGGGATACTTAAAACCGAATGTAGATAGTCCAATCTACGATTCACGTCACTAGACGAGATTTCTAGGAGACTTGCGAGGGAGGCGAGTGAAAGCGGATTGGCAAGAATGATGATGGTGCCAACAATCACACGATATTCAGATATCAGCTGCTCTCTCTCGTCTTCATCTTCATCTTCGTCTTCGCTACGGAGAATTTGCTCGAAGACCGGAATATAAGTATGCTCGAGTTTCGATATATGACTTGTGCCTGCGTTCGACTGAGTTCCTGATCCTAGAACAAGGGCTAGGCGCTTCTCAGGATCCCATTTTCTATCTGCGATAAAGCGACACATAGTAGCGGCGGAAATAAACAATGGGTTCGCAACGCTGACCAGGTCCTGAATTTTCTGCTCTCCAGGCCATTCTTGCGGAAGCGAGTGTTTTCGTCTTATTTCTTCGAATCTATCAGATATGAAGAGCAAAATGTCATACTTAACGGATGATTCCACAATCTGATGGATGCTAAAATCACGATGAGCGGTTGTCGAAACATTATCAAATCCCTGGCGGATTGGTAGCTCTGGGCGACTGGTCAGGAAAACCCGAATAGAGACCGAGCTTGACGGTGGCACCATGGGCAAAAGGCGAAGTAAAAGCTCAATATCATTTTCAGATTGGCATTCATCCAGCGCATCAATCACTATTACCAGGACTGAAGCTTCCGCTCGGCCATCCTTGATGGCTGATAGCGGCTCAAGCAGCAACCTATTGAACTGCTCTACGAGAGATTTCGTTGATATGGAAGGATCCCTCTGAATTGCCCGCCGGATGCTGGGTATCAGTCGAGGCTCATGAATAACCAATTGCCGTGCTATGGTCGGAAACAGCTTTTCAGCTGTCCCACAGTCCGTCTTTCCTCTCCTAAAGAAGAAACTTGCACCTAGAAGGCCTTTTTCCTGGAGCAGTCGGCAAACAGTACGTGAAACAGTAGATTTGCCTGTTCCCGCCATTCCATTTAACCAGAAGATACGCTCGCTCTGAGAGAGGTGTGACCATTCTGTGATGTGTTTCAACAGATCTGTTCTAGTTCCTGGCAGGCACTCAGCCTCATGTTGGTTTTTGTACGAGTCAAAGCAGCGCCGTCAGCCATAGTTAGTTGGCAGAGCTCCATCTCTCGACTGATATCCTGGATCCCGCTTAGCACGTTGTCAATTTGACTAAGGATATCCTCGGCCTTTTCTTGGCAGGACAGTCGTTGATCAATCGACACCCATTTCTCCAACTGCGCCTCCTCCTCGCTGATGGCGGCCTTGAGTGTACTCAGAGGCTGGTCAGTAAGGGCTGTCACACTAAGGACAAATTTCCTCCCAGCCCCTGATTGTTGTGTTGAAATAACCTTAGCTGAATAACGTAAGGTTGCAGTATATACGCGGATGATAGCACTCCGGAGCATGTCTTTCATCCTGAGGTTGCTGCTCCGGCCTGAGCAGTCAATCTCAATAAAGGCGCATCGACTCAGAACGTCTGTGAGGAACCCCGACGCTTCGAAAATTGAAGCTTGCAAATCTTGATGATTCTGGACCATCTGTTTCCCATCAGCCAATCTTGTGTAAGTATCATCATAAAACGACTTCACGTACACCTAATCCCAACGATACCAATCGCCAGACTCTGTCCGCATACCCTGTGGGGTCAAAAGCAGCGACAGCACCGATAATATCTGTGAAAGATAGTGTAGCACTAACTATTTTGAGAGCAGAATCTCGGATGTTGATGTCGTCTCCCCTTGATCTTTTGATCTTTAGCCCTCTTCTTTGATGCTCATCGTACTGCTTCTTTGTCGTCTCAATAACCGAGTTTACTATGTCTAACATCTGAGACTCGCGGTTGGCATGATTGGCCCCATTTGACTCATGGAGCAGCGTCAGCCTTCGTTGCTCCTCGGGATCCAGATTTGCATAGGCGGCCTTCCATAGACACTGTCGGTCCGACTGGACCGAATCTGAATTTTCTGTTGTACCGCTTCCCTGCTGATTCTGGGAACTGTTCTCCGGTTCTCCAAGTGCTGGGGCGGTGCCTGCGCCCGACGCATCAGCATTAGTTGATACGCCATTCCTATTTACTCGGTCTTGGCCTGGACCGTCGGTTTTCTTTTCTGGCTTCTTGTGGCGGTCCCTCCTGAAGAGCTGTTTGATATGGAATCCCATTTTTTCTGGAATTCCTGGTGAGCCATCGGTGTTGAGAGGAAGGCATGAGGTCGGAGAGTGAGATAGGCGCCAGCTCCTCGGCTGCCAAAATCCCCAGGTGCCAAGAAAGAAAAAGCAAGCACCATGAGACTAGGCTGTGCACTAATCGTCGCACTGCATCCTGAGCTCCTACTTTGGGTTAAGCCTATCAGCCTATACCCATGATTAATTGTCCGGCGCTTATCATGTATTCTGGTTGGACGATGGACCGATACTTAATGTTGGGATGCTTTCGTCTGGTATCGATCTTCGATTGAGTCGGGATTGAATATTGCGGTATGGCTGGCAAAGAGAGGCTGGAGAAGAGATATCTGTACGAAGTTTTACCTGTACAGTTATCGTAAGCTTTGAATAGGTTCTGTATGTTGTGATTTATGGTTTCTTGGCTTGGTGACAGCTCTTGCATTAAATGACAGGGAAGAGGATGAGGATCCGAGAATGGATACCTTTTCCACTACCGAGCATGACAGTGTCTGCTGCCATTCCTATTCTTTTCTTTTCTATTTACTTATTTTATTTTATTCCTCATGTATAATCAAGAACATAGAATATGTTTGGTTACACATACCTTTCCCAGACGATACCAAGACGGCCAAGACGTTTATCTATCAAGTATGCTCTTTAGTACGCTGAACGACTATTCTAGTTCCAACTGTAGGATAAAAGGCGATCTATTATGATCATCAGCAGATTATACAAGATCTGAGATTGACCACAAACCTGCCATGGACTTTAAACAAAGTTATTGTTCGAGTGGTAACTCTGTCCTGTCTCTCAGAGCCGTGGAATCCCGACAAGGAACCGTGGCGCGGTGTCCAACCATAATCTACAACATTTACTATAAATCAGCGATGGGTTTCGGCTTGCGGAGCATTACCAACATCACAAAATTCTAGGCAACCCGCAGTAGGCTGGAATTAAGTCCACTAATCTTATAATCTGACATACAATACTTCCAGTTCGAGAGCCATTATGGTATTGTTTCTGATTCCGGTGGTTGACACCAAGGGCTTAGTCGTGTTGATGATTCGAATGCGGGTTCAATTGCTATTCTCTATGGTGCTGTATTTACAGGGGAATAGGAAGTTTATAAGTACATAAATACACCTTCAGCTTGAAGGTGAGATTATCTTGGCGGAAAAAGAATGCTGCACACGACGGCATGCACTACACATGCAATTGATGTACTGAAAAATAAGTAAACATGATGAAAGAAAAGAGGGGGGCTCTATATAGTGTTCTCAGTATAATATATGGACTTGTAGATGTATAAGAATGAAAGACAAGACGAAAAGGGTGGAACCGACTTTCGGTTCAAGGTAGAAAGAATGAATACAAAGTCAATTAAAAGGAGACAAGAAGTAGAAGGTTGGAAAAAAAGGTACAAACTGAATGCTCGTCTTTGGGGCAGTAGCAAGGTATCTCACAAGAAATATCTCACCGATATTCGCAACAGTTTATACCAGTCTTGAATAGAGACTCAAGGTGAGAAGTATAGATATACCTGTTCTAGCCAGATGCTCTCTTCCCCTTCGGGACGCGGGCCAGCCAGTAAATGAAAACTGCTGCACCAATATTGAACGCGATGTACACCCACATCAGACCGAAGTTCCTCCAGGCTTCGTCATACTTGCTTACTATCGAGGCAAGAAACGTATCAGTTTTGCTGACCGTACAGAAGGCACAATCAGCTGTGGCTTCCGGGTTCTGTAGGTATCCCTGGGCTTCCTGGATATACGCTGCCATATATTGCTGGCAGGTTTGATTTGCCGGGGGATCGAAGTGGAGAAACTCAACTGCCTCGCACTGAACATCGGTCCCAGACAGACCAGTAGACAACATCGCAGAGACCAAATAGGTGAATGGTGATACACGATACATGAAGATCCAGAATCCAGGCATATTATCTGGGGTTGCAAGGACACCGCAGAAAATAAGGCAGAGAGAGAAGAGCAAGGTAGCAATATTACCACCTGTCTCGGCCAGCTCTATACCTGCTATAACCATATGGGCAAAGGTAGAAGTAAAGAGTAGGAATACCCAGATAAGCAGGAACATGAGACCTCCACGTTCAGTCACTGCGTCTGTAGGCTTCGCGTTATTATACAGCCCGATCGGGTAGTACCAACAGAAGAACATCAGCGCTGCCATTAGCGTATTCCAAGGCAATTCAACAAGAATATTAGCTGTCATAAAGGCTTGCCAAGAATATGTTTTCGATGGGCGTTCACGGACTTCGTATAGTGACCGTTGCGTGACGAAATGAGGCATAATCTGTTGTACTAAGTTACCGAAGATCGTCATCAACATAAATACGCTGAACATCTGATTCTGCATCCCTTGAATTGAATTCTTGGCATGGAAAAAGGAGAACCCGATATAAATGGAGGTCAGAATGGAAAGGGCAGTTTTAGACCAGATATAGCTTGGTGTGCGGTAATATTGGGCGAAGACACGGATCAGACATTCGTATAACTGAATATAGAACGGTGCCGCATATTCCTTAAAGGCCTCTGGGTCGGAGTTCTCCTCTGGTTTCACAGATAGGGTTGACTTCAGCTCGGCAAGATGTTCCTTAACCTTCGCATGCTCGGGGCTTTCGCGCCACACCTTCGGCCAGTCTATGTCACTGTGAGATCCTGGCGCTGCTCCAATCACATCCAGCATCCACTCGGCTGGGTTCTCTCCAGGAGATAGGTGCTGTGCGCCATTGCGTTCAAAGTAACTTGATAGGGTAGAAGAGTTCTGCCCAATTTCACCGAAATAGATTGTCTTTCCACCTTTAGCCAAGAAAAGAAGGCGATCAAACCGTTGAAACAACATCGCAGAGGGCTGATGGATAGTACAAAGGATTGCCTGGCCGTGTTGGGTTAAAGTATCGATCAAATCCAGGATTGACCAGGAGGTTTGACTGTCAAGACCTGAAGTAGGTTCGTCCAAAAACAACAAAAGTTGGGGCTTTGCAGCAAGTTCAACTCCAATGGTCAAGCGCTTACGCTGTTCGACGTTCAAACCTTCTCCAGGCACTCCAACAACTGCATCAGCATAAGCCTCCATACCAAGGAGTCTGATCACTTCCTCAACGTAGTCAATTTTCTCCTGGTGGCTGACGTGCGCTGGCTGACGCAATATTGCGCTAAATCTGAGGGCTTCACGAACAGTAGATGTAGACAGATGAAGGTCCTGCTGCTGCACGTATCCTGTTTTACGCTGGAAGGATTGGTCACGAGGACGTCCATCCACAAGCATCTCGCCTGTAATAACTCCCATGGTAACGCGTGTGGCGAGCACATCCAATAACGTTGTTTTACCTGCTCCTGATACTCCCATCAGGGCGGTACAGGTACCAGGCTTAACCCAACCGTCAACGTGATCCAGAATTCTCCTAGGTTGTCCCTTAATCTTTATATCGTAACAGACATCCTTCCATTGAAAGATTGCGGTTTGTCTTTGGATTCCCGCTGACGCTTGAGGAGCAGATTCATCGGTTTTCGGTGCACCACCAGGCTGGGGCGACTCCAAATCGGTCTTATCCAGGGCTATTTTGGGTTGATGGCCACGGCGAAATAAGAGCACTTCACCTTTCGATTTCTGCTCTGAGATATATTCCGTAGACGCAAGGTAAGTGAAAGCAAAGAACACTAGGAAGCCGATCATAATTCCCAGGTTTCTCCACAAATGCCCTTTGACATACCGAAAGCTCTGTGCAAGATAGACTGTCCCTTGCACAATATCTGAGCCAGTCTCTGCTCCAACTGTAGAGCAAATCCGATTCTGCATCGGCATACTGTCGTACGCTCCTTTAGATGGGATAATTTGGGAGCATTCAAAGTGGCGGCCATGGAACTCATTCACCATGAAGCTCTCAAAGGCATAGGATATGGGGTTAATATAGTTCATCCAACGGGACCAGCCGAGCATATTTCTGGTAGGAATAACAAACCCTGTATAGATCACCATTCCCAGGATCAAGATTGCCGCAGGGACAAGTGCTTGAGACAGAGAGCGAGATGTGGCTGCAATCGTTCGGAAGATCATTGACATGGTGTATGTGGTGATCACTGAAAAAAGCCAGAATGTCCACCAAGCTCCTGCTTCGCGCCGTAGGTTGGTCATAAAGTACAACGGGAGGTTGAAGGTGATTGAGTTGACAATTTTGTAAGGTGTGTCACACAACATAGACGCAACAGCTTCTGCAAATGGATGATAGAATGCATAACGAGCTTGTTTTTCCACAATTGGCCTTTGAGCGTACAGAGTCAAAATTTCCAAGGCACTGGAGAACGCATTTAGAAGCACTGCGTAGAACAGTAAAGCTCCTCGAGAGTAAAAGCTGGCAGAATTATCTTTGAGGTTGAAGAAAACTGAAGCAACAATTAAGGCTATAATAAAGTTGCCAATCAAAGCAGTTACTGTTAAACTGGAATCACCTCGGAGGCGCTGAAAACCGCGGACAACACAAAGATGGATTTGCTCCCATACCGAGATCGTGTAAGGGGATTTGACGCGTTGATGTTTTGCCTGTATAGCTTTGCGGGCATCAATAAAGGATTGATAGGAGGCGCCGCCAATTGGGTACTGTTTCTCGAACTCATCGATTTCCATAATCAGCTTCGCCCGAGCGTCGCTTCGTTTCCATGCAGCGGCAAACTCATCTGGAGTTCGAGGCACGCGGTTTTCAAAACCGGGGCGGACCTTTCTTTCTGAAGGGCTGGTAAGAGACGTTAAGAAATCAGCCGTTGTCTGCCGGTCAGGGCACTCAAATCCCATATCCACAAAAAACTGCTTAGCCTCCGTCGTTCGGCCAAAATAGATTTGCCTTCCTTCATAGAGTACCGTCACCTTATCAAACACGTCATATGCGTTTTGCGATGCCTGGTAAATAGCCACGCAGGCAGCAGTGCCAGCGTATTTACTCATCAAGGCTAAGTTCTTGCAAAATTCCAAAGCATTGGCACTATCAAGACCTCTGGTGCTGTTATCCCAGCACTGAAGCGGTGCCTGGCTCAGTGTAGCTTCTGCAATACTGACACGCTTTCGCTCTCCACCGCTGACTCCTCGGACATAATCGTTGCCAACACGGGTGTTGATCGTATGGGATAGTCCCAGCATTGTCATTACCACATCTCTCATGTGTTCAGCATACTGCTGCCGACTAACGCCCTCCAAGCGATTTCTAGGGGCTCGGGCAAGGGCAGCAAACTTCAGAGTGTCACCAACAGACAGCTGTGGAAAATGAACATCTGTCTCAGCTGAGTAAATCGCTTCGCCCTTGAACGCGTGGTGCATCAATTTTGCAGGTATACCTAAGCGTCGCGGTCAGTATCCACAAGAGGGTAGGTTGGTGGGTGTGGGGAGCTGGAGGAGTAAAATGTGTATGCATACCCTGGTAGTTGAGTGTCGAGTCATCTGACATCTGAATCCCGTTCATTTCCCCAGAAATTGTCTTGAGAAACGTAGAACATCCACTTCCCGGTCTTCCTAGCACCACCAACATCTCACCACTTTTCACCAAGCCATCGAATTCCCGAAGGATCTGGATCTTTTGCATTTTGATCCCCATCAACTTGCGGGCAATAGTGCCTATCTCTAGGAGCGAGTTCAAGACATCCTTTTGATAGTCTGTTGGAGATCCGAATCCATGAACGTTTAGATTCTTGAAGGCAACGCCAGCTGTTCGGTCTGGATACTGCTCAGGGTCTTTAGAGCGAATGGCAAGCAGCATCTTAAGCCAGTCTCTTGGCTTAAAATTCGGACTATCAGGGTTGAGAGTTGATTCGGGGTCCTTCACAAAGAACGGATTTTCAAGGGTCCCTTTCGCAGAGAAGCGAGTCGATTGACGGGTGAGTCGTCGAGCTAAATCACCCACCCGAGCCTCCATCTTCTCTTCGTTATCCTCCTGCAGTGTCAACGCATCCTCGCTCTTGTCTCGATCGGCGTACTGAGTGGCTGAAGTCGATGGGGTATCGTCATCTGTATCGCCATGGTTCCGCAGAGGGTTGTTATGACTAACCACGGACTGCTGCTGGGGAACGTTTGCATTGACTGCCCCTAAGAAGGACATTTTGAATTGACTGGCCTCCGGCTTCAGACTGTTCCTCCCATTGACGACGCAGACCGAAGATCAGTTGGCAATGTTCCCTTGGCGTCACTGATGAAGCACGAAAGGTGTGCGACAAGAGTCGACAAATACCTTTCTGTCAGTGGGGACCAAAGCTTTACGCTAACCAACTCAATATAAAAACTAGAGATCTTGCCTGAAAAGACTTAAGCTGGGTTGTCTAACTAAGGATACAACTGCCACAGGGGCAAGTAGATAATTATATAGAACTCCATTCTAATCGTCTACGCGCATGCAACCGGCGAGAAGGGTCCACATCCAAGGGGCAAAATAATGTTAAAAGATGCGGATGAACACTCCGCTGCACAGCGAACGTCCGGGGTCCGAGCAATGCCTTATCGGAAAGTGGCTATCCTGATATGTCGAGCCCTACCCTAGCAATTATGTGATCTAGAAGAGCTTATTGTTTTGACTCCCGATTTCCGAGCCAACCACATTACCGGACGGGGCATGCTGACGGTATATATATGTGCTTCTAGGGATAGAAAACGTGGGCGCTCCACCTAGCTGCAGCCTGGAGTTGATTAGGGGATGGATATCAAACAACCGATCCCATGTCTTCGGAGGTGAGCGGGTGTCTGTGGCCGAGCCAAGTCTGAGCTGTATCAATACCGTGTAACTTACAGTACAGAACGAACATCCGCCATCCGGGGTTGCCAAGACATGCGAAGGGTTTAGTCTCAGCAACGACCCGGCCATAGGCTCCTGCAACAGCATTCGGCTGGAGGATTTCCCGAATAAGGCCTGCCCTGTGTCTCAAGATCGACAGTGGTTACTCCGCTCCAGACCAACGTCCCAGATCATGATGGCGCCACGACAAATCCTTGGGATCTTTCCCCATTCCTTCTATTTCACCTTTTCTTAACATCACCACATAGTACTTGTCGACTTCCCAATTATCGAATAATGAGTCGCAGCAGCCAGCAAGTGGATTCTCATCGACATATACCTCATGATCCCATGACCAGGACACTTGCGCAGGCAGATATAGGGGTTGCGAAACAGGAGTCTCCAAGACAGAAAGTGCGCGGTCCGGTTCATGTAGCCACAATACGTTACTGATGACCCCCCAGGTTTGCAATGCATGCCGTCGCAAGAAACAGAGTGGCGACCTCGGTGCGATGCTCAAATGCTCTATGTGCCGAGAGCGACGCGCTTCTAGTACGCGCAATGAGGAGAGATACAGAGCAGATATGAGAAGGTACTGTAGTGCTTAAGTATCAAGATTGTGTATTTACAGGGCAAAAGTCTTACATGTTAAGTGAAGGCGTGTGATGATCAACCGACTGGAAACGAACATCGAACGAATGGAATCTCGATTACATGATATGGGGCTTAGACTGAGCGAGAGTAGCACAAGTACTACTCAAGAATTTCTGTGCTCAAATGCCCCTGTGTTAGAACACTCCGATAAGATTACCGCAAGTGACCCGGATTTTGCAAGTTTTTACGCTGGCCGGGAGCCAAACCGCGTGAGCACTACTAGCAGTGCTGATGCTAATCCAGGCATATTATTCTCAACTAAAAAAGTAGAGAACTGGCCGCCGTGTCTTGCATCTTTTTTGATTCCGCGGTCGTTGGTCGAAGCACCACTTGCGAGAGGTCAGACTTCTGTTTACTCAATAATCTTCTCTACCAGTGAGATCTATGTGAGCTAATACGATTCTAGGCTTCTCGGCTATCTCTCAAAAAGGGATGGAGTGGATATCTCAGAAAGCTGGAAACGTATCGTTAGAGAACCTCTCTTCATTACTGTCCGCGAAAGATCTTGATGAAAATGCAACCAATAGTCCTCTCGACGGCGCATTCCCCTACCGAGTGTTTTGCTCACTGCCAACAAAAGAGGAGACTGTCTCCCTCGTACAAGATTTCATCGAGGATTTCAATATGCTGTTCCCAATTTTCCAGCGGTCTGAGCTGCTATCACTCTTCAATCAGAAATGCTTGGACATGAGAGTTCAAACACCGAGTCAATGGGCCTGCATAAATGCAGTACTAGCAACGGCATACATGATCCGCCCTCTAGACGAGGGGTCTGGGACAGATCATCATCAGAAAAGCTGGCTGTTCATCCAAAACGCATTAGAAATTGTGAATGAGCTCTGTCTTGGCCCCCCAGACCTATTAGGCCTCCAAGCGCTTCTACTATTGGTATGACTCAACACTCACATATTGATAGGCGCATGAACCGAGCTAACTTGTCGTATAGGCTACTTTTTTTCTGGGAACATCGGCTGAAAATCCTTGTGGTTTTTTAATCTCCGCTGCTGTTCGCATTTGTCACGAGCTTGGCTTGGGCCAGACAGAAGATGGCTCTCCTTTGTGTTTACAAGAGATCCAGCACAGGCGGACAGTATTTTGGATCGCTTACTGCTTAGACCGAGAGTATGGCTATCGTGACTGGCATTCGACTCCATAAGGTCTGGACTAATTCTAAGCAGATTATCCCTTCGGTTCTGTGAACCGCCAGCGCAAAGCGATGAAGACTTCAGTGCGACGTTACCAATGGAAGCACCAACTGACAGCAAATATACTATGCCAACCAGTGATCTATCTGGAAGCTTCAATGCGTTCCGGTCAAGTTGTCAGCTTGCCATGATCAAGGGGCAGCTTTATAAGGATCTTTACTCCCCCGCTGCGGAGGATAGGCCCCTGAGCCAGATCATCGCTTCGGCCGGAGTGCTAGACGAGAAGCTCCAGGAGTGGAAACGAAACATTCCTCTTGAATATCAGCCGGAAAATGCCGGAACCGATCGCCACCGGTCAAAAATGTCGCCGGTGTTACTCCTGCTACATTATTCGTACTTTCACTGCATGATCGCAGTTCACCGTCGTGTTGTCTCCGGGGGACTAAGCATCGGGACGGATCTGATGGAGAAGAATGACTTTACGAGCTCGCCCGCCTCGTTATCCAATCCCAGGGTATTGTTGTCTACGTCACTCTGCACAAAAGCCGCGAGGGCGTCTATCAACCTTACAAACTATTTGTCGCAGGAGAATATACCTTTTTTCGGGTCAGTATCACTGGGCACATCGCCTTGAAAGTTGCTAACGTTTCCTGCAGGTCTTTGATCTATTACCCAGTGGTTGCGTCAATAACGCTTTCATGGAGTATCATACGTAACCCTCAAGATACTCATCGAGGATATAATTTGAAACTGATCAGCCGGACGGAGGATTTTCTGGCCTCTCAAGCTTTCTGCAAAGCCTTTGAGGGGATACGGCGCCTTGTGAAACAGTGCGCTGAATACCGCTCCATCGCGGAAGCTGCGGTGAAGGCCGCAATGTAGCTATGCTATGCCGCCGGCCTGACTCGACCAGACATCATGGCTGAACTGCAGCCCATGTAAGAAAACCACAGTTGCAGTGTAGAAAAGCCGGAATGCCTGCGGGCCAGATGACCGTCACCTGTCACCTTTGGGGGTGTATGACAGACTAGCATTGGTCATGGCGACCAGCCAAGGCTGACTGGTCTCATTCTTCGCTTTTGACCCACCCATCTCTTACGGCATTATTGTGATGGAAATGTTTAATGATATATACCCAGTGCGAGAGAATATGGATGCAGAATGAATTCTCGTGGGGAGGTTAATCGGGAACATCAAGTCATACAAGCACTATAACGATCATTGCAGCAACGTACACTGTTATATTTAATTAATTAATTTATACCCTTTCTTTTTTTTTTCACCGACTGTATGTCAATTGCGGGTGGAGTGGAATTAACCAACATAATGAGCAATATATATATTATAAACGACTTTGTGAGTGGGTTCTTTGTAGTACTAGAAGGTAGCTTACATCAAAGCTTGCATAGGGTCTGGATGAATGAGTAGATCAGTTACTAGTTAGGAATATCAACTAGAACTCATCCTTTCGGCTTTATGATTCTTTAGCATTATATTCTATCCTACGCAGAACATCGAGGACCATCTCATGAATGCCAGGTCTGTGGGTATGACGTAATCCATCATGCAATCCGGAAGCCACCCGAAGAGGGCATCCGGATCACGTGGGCGGTGAAGGCGTTCGGGCCGGAAAGAGAAGGAAAGAGAAAGGGTGTTTAGGCGAGGGAGCAGAGCGCGTCATAGGCAGAGAGAACTCAGCATTCGTTGATTTTTTTTTATTTTGCCTTTTCACACTCGACCAGAGAGAGGAAAAAAAAAGAAGTTCCCATATTATTACGCTGAGGTGTACCAGTAACAGTCAATTGCTACCCCTCATTGACCCCTCCTCTTCCCTAATTTTTTCTTTCTTGCCCGTTCAATTCGCCCACCAGCAAGGTGTGGGCACCGTCAAAACGTCGTCCACCCAATCCCCCTCCGTGTTTCTTTTCCTTTCTCTGCCTCTTCGATTAGAACGAACCGCAGCTGGTCCTGCTTTGGCCTCGCGCCTCCAATCCTACTGTTGCCGTCCCCGCGTCACCCCTCCGTCCACTTTCTCTTTCTTCTCCTACCGGAGCTACTCCAGCAAGAAGAAGAAATCCAACAAAAAGATGCCTCCCAAGAAAGCTGTTGTGCAAGAGAAGGTCCTTCTGGGCCGTCCAGGAAATAACCTGAAGAGCGGTATCGTATGTGAGCATTGACCCCACCGGCTATTTTTCTTTTTTTTTTTTTTACGCCCACTTCCCAGCCATCCTATTTTTCCCTAACCCTATTTAAGCACACTATCCTCACCTTCCCCCTGAAATTTTTTTCTCTCTCTCTTTCTCTTTCCACATCAACACACAATGTAGTCCTGTCAAGGAAAACAAAAATGTTCAACATTAACTTGCCATAGGTTGGTCTGGCCAACGTCGGTAAATCGACGCTCTTCCAAGCCATTACCAAGTCCAACTTGGGTAACCCGGCCAACTTTCCCTATGCCACCATTGACCCCGAAGAGGCGCGTGTCATCGTCCCCGATGACCGTTTCGACTGGTTGTGCGAGCACTACAAGCCCAAGTCGCAGGTTCCTGCCAACTTGACGGTCTATGATATCGCCGGTCTGACTCGTGGTGCCTCTACCGGTGCTGGTCTCGGTAACGCTTTCTTGTCCCACATCCGTGCCGTCGATGCCATCTTCCAGGTCGTGCGTTGCTTCGATGATGCTGAGATTATCCACGTCGAGGGTGACGTTGACCCCTCTCGTGATCTGAACATCATCAGTGAGGAGCTCCGTGTCAAGGATATCGAGTTCGTTGAGAAGGCTCTGGAGGGCTTGACAAAGCAGACGAAGCGTGGTGGACAGTCTCTGGAGATGAAGAAGCTGCGCGAGGAGGAAGCCACTGTGGCCAAGATCCTCGAGCACCTGAAGGCCGGCAACGATGTCCGCAAGGCCGACTGGAGCCCCAAGGAGGTATGTGATATCTGTTTTTTTTTTTTTTCTTTCCACACCCCTTGGCACAACTTTCATATGATGAATAAGAGCTTTGCTCGAATATAACCCAGCTCGTCGAAAGGCCTCCTCTTATACCAACGCGAGGTCACATGAGATTACGTCCTATCTGATATCACTTTGTCTTCTATTCTATGTCATAGTCAATGCGTTTTTGTATGCTTGGCACTAACGACTCTTAGGTCGAGGTCATCAACCCTCTCCAGCTCCTCACTGCTAAGCCCGTTGTCTACCTCGTTAACCTGAGCGAGAGAGATTACGTTCGCCAGAAGAACAAGTACCTCCCTGTTGTCAAGAAGTGGATTGACGACAACTCTCCTGGTGACCCTCTGCTCCCCTTCTCCGCCTGTTTCGAGGAGCGCCTCACCCAGTTCGAGACTGAGGCCGAGGCCCTCGAGGAGTGCAAGAAGTTGGGCACCAAGTCTGCTCTTCCCAGGGTGATCACCACCATGCGTACTTCTTTGAACCTGGCCAGTTTCTTCACCACTGGTACCGACGAAGTCCGCCAGTGGACCATCCGCAAGGGTATCAAGGCCCCTGCTGCTGCCGGTGTCATTCACACCGACTTTGAGAAGACTTTCATCCAGGTCATTGTTTACAACTATGCCACTATGCGCGAGTACGGTGATGAAGCCGCCGTCAAGGCTGCTGGTAAGGTTATGACCAAGGGTAAGGACTACGTCGTTGAGGACGGTGATGTTCTCCTGATCAAGGCCGGTGCCGCCCGTGGCTAAGTCAGATACCTTAAATTGTAGATGATATGAATGAAAAATAACAATTTATACCACGAACCATGTTTTCTCCGTAAATAAACCATATACTTTTATTGTGTAACTTGAAAAAATGTGACGGTAGCTGAGGCCAACACGTGACACTGGTAGCCCTTCCCCGCGTCCACCTCTCCCCGCCAAGCGCGCAGTTTAACCTCATCGCCAGTACCAACATCAATAACAGAACACTACGCAAAATGTTCAAGAAGGAGTAAGTAAAAAGCATTGGAAGCTGTGAATCCTACCTCCGACATGCCAACCTCTCAATTCCCCCAACCCGAACCCCCCCCCCCAACCCAGACCTCAGCGCAAGCAACCAAGTTCCAAAACCTCCGACGCATGACCTCACACCTTCAGAAAAACAAACCGGCCCCAGAAACCACTCTCCAAACAAACACATGAACTTGAAAGGAATTTCAACTAACAAAGGAATGTTTGAACAAAAATAGGATCCCGACGAGCAACCGCTCAAAGGTGAAATCCAGCGTGCAGCGCGGCCTGCGCCAACGCTTCGTCGAAGCTTACCCGGGCTTCGAACCTTACATTGATGACATCCTGCCCAAGAAAGCTCAGCTCGATGCTGTGAAACTGTACCTCTCTCCGTTTTTTTTCTTTCCTTCTTACTACCCTGCCTTCCATGCATATCTATACCCCCGGATATAAAGAGATATTACGCTATAGCGCATCCATAGGGAATCGATAGATGGATAAAATCAACCCCCTCACATGCACCGCACCACACTCCCCCACCACAACAGACCCAAAAAGAGAAACCCATACTAACAAAGTTGACAATCCAGCCCCGAAAGATGCACCCTCTACACCATCGACTCCACACCCCTCTTCTACCAACCGCTAGACGGCCCCCCGATCCCGCACCTCAAGCTCCTCCACCAGTACCCGACCGCGCTGCCGACGGTGCAGATCGACCGCGGCGCGATCCGGTTCGTGCTGTCCGGGGCGACGTTGATGGCGCCCGGGCTGACGAGTCCCGGCGGCCGGCTACCGGAGAAGGAGGATGCGTTGGAGGCGGGCCAGGTGGTGGCTGTTCTGGCGGAGGGCAAGGAGACGGCGTGTCTTGTGGGCACGTTGAAGGTCGGCACCGAGGACATGAAGAGTAAGGGGAAGGGGATTGTGATGGAGGATGGACATTATCTGGGGGATGGGTTGTGGAGGATGAGTCTGGATTGAATTTTTTTTTTTTTCTTCTGTTTTTTAATTTTGATTCTTTTTGTTCTTGTGTTGGGTTTGGGGTATGAATATGATATGGGAGTGATTGGTTGATTGATACCTGTGCATGGAATGAAGTGATGATCATCATAGATATTTGTATTTATTGTAAGGTTATCAATGGCAATTGCATTTAATCGATTCAATTCACTTATGCTATGGCTGTGGCTATGGCTATGGCTATGTATGGTTGTGGATGGATGGCATGTTATGTACTGTACAGATGTGGCGATATATCAGGACACTTCGTCAACGCTGTCCATTCTGTCTTGGGTCCGGGATGTGTTGCTTCCCTGGCGAGAAATGCTTTGGCGGGGCGAGATGGAGGATGCGGCAGATAGTGACGACCAGGATGGTGTGATGGCTAGCCCGAGCCCCTTGACACTGGTTCCGGATCCATTTAAGCCGGCGCCTGGGAGCCCCCCGTTTCGGAGACCCGTCCGGTCAATAGCCCGTCGAAGCATCTCGCCAGACCCGTCGAGAGCAATGAGGAACCTTGCCAGCTCGGCGCAGAGCTCCCAGTCGCCCTTTTGTGAGGCCAGCACGAGCAGTCGAACGACATAGTCTTCAATGGGTGCCTCGTGGCCGTCGTCATCTTCAAACGCCTGCAGCACTAGAAGGTAGCCGACGGCTGTCTTAAGAGAGTCGAGCCTGAGAGCCTGCTCGAATAGGTCTCTTGGTGGTGGGAGATGGGCGAAGAGAGTGCGCCATGAACGGAGTTCCGTCTTCCGCGTGCATTGAACAACAATGTCCAAATACACCCGCTCAGGAAGCGAGGCTTGGAGGAAGGAGATGACCGATGGAAGTAGAGGATCATGCTTCTGCGAAGGGTTCTCGACTTTGCTATCTCGACTTTCATTGTCGACTTCATCGTCCAAAACGTGGTGAAGGAGGATTTCAAGGGCATGCGGGAA